CATCACCTGGGCTGACAGCAGCGATTTTGGGAGTGTGGCAGGCTCCTCCTGGAGTGCTCTGTGTAAGGGCAGCTGCCTCCACCTCTGAGTGGCATTTTGGGATGGAAATTCACTTCTGCTGTCTCACCATCGGCTGCCCTTCCTAATTCTTATCATTCCCACTTAGTTCTTACTTGTGAGCACATTCAGAGGAGTGGAAATGCAGCTCATTAGAAACAGAAATGGCAGGTTCATTAATACAAACGGTGTAATAATTGCTGTGATCTTCTGAGACCATGATGAACCAACAGTCAGCACCCACCAAAACAAATGGAACAAAGAACTTCCACTCCAAGTACACTTATTTTTTTTCTGAGAAAGCACTTGATACTAAGCAGTGCCCTACTTTGACAGGTACGAAATAAAACTGGTTATTAATTTTCAGTACTGATGGCAAAAGGATTAACTGAGCGTGTCATTCATTCATTAATCATTTCAGAATTAAATAACCAAATACAGCTCTTAGATTGCTTTTTGAAAGGATGTAAAAATAAATGAAAGTCCATTCTAGCAACATTAGAAGGAAGTGGGTATTGAATCAAGCCTAGTGACAAGCCCAGTAAATCAGAATGATTTCTACATCTCAGGTCTGTATTGTTAATTTTAGCAGGATTGATAGAACTCCATTCTATCCTTTAAAAACCGAGAAAGCATCAAAAACTGTCAGCTCGAGGGAAGAAAACCTTAATTGCTAATACTCGCAAAAAGAAATATTTTGGTTTTGTCTTCCCAGGCTTTGAGATGTGGACGTGAGTGCAGAAGGAAGAAGCTGGGGTACCTCCAGGATGGCAGCAGACATCCCCTCCGAGGTGGAGCTGTTCACCAGGGCACAGCTCCTGCTGACTGCAGCCTGCAGCTCCTCCTGGGGCAGCTCCTGCAGCACATGCACCCCAGGGGCCCTGCGAACACAAGAGGAGACCTGAGCCACACCAGACCCCAAAAAAAAATGGGTGGGATTCTGCCCTGGCAGGGGCTGAGGCACTGGAGCAGCTGCCCAGAGCCCCTCTGGATGTTCCATCCCTGGCCAGGGTCAAGGTTGGGTGGGATTGGAGCTGTCCCTGCCCGCAGCTGGGTGGGACTGGGTGGAACTGGGAGACCCTTCCACGATTCTAGGAATTATAAATCTAAATCAGAGTAAATCAGATGATTCTAAAACTTGACATGTTTGGAATACCCATTCTGAGACTGTTCTGTGCCAGATAATCCTGGCAGATCTGTCAGACACACAGAGCAGTGCATGGACATTCATCTGTACACAGTGATTTCAGAAGGGGCAGCCAACTGCAGATACAAGGTTTAACATTAATTCTTACCTTTTCACTTTCTCCTTAACTTCACTGGTAAAAACTGGATCAACCTAGAAAGGAGCACACACACACAGTCAGTGGCACTGCAGCTGATGTTTGGAATACCCAGAGAAAGTAACAAAGTTTAGCACGTTTTTTTTAACTAAAATATTTCAAATACTGAGCTTTAAAATCATCCCACAGATCTGTTACTTGGTTCTCTCCAAGGGCTGGTGTGACAGCTCCTGTCTGAGTGAGGGGCAGGGCACTGATGAGGCCAGGGACTGTCCCTTTGTTCACTGAGTAAAAATGTGCCTCGGTGAGCTCAGGAAGCAGCCTGGATGTAAAGTGAGACACTCACAGAGATGCTGTGCTCTGCCAGAAAGAGTTGTTGGAAATCTAATAAACACAAAATTCTAAGAGCCCCAGTAAATAATAAACACAAAATTCTAAACCCCAATAAATAATAAACAGAAAATTCTAAGAGCCCCAGTAAATAACAAACAGAAAATTCTAAACCCCAGTAAATAACAAACACAAAATTCTAAGAACCCCAGTAAATAATAAGCACTGAATTCCCAAGCTCAGTAAATAATAAACACAAAATTCCCAATCCCTGAAAAGAATGTTCTTCCAGCCAGGCACCCAAAAACATCCTGAGAACAAAGTTCTTGCACCCAAAACATCTCCAGCCTCCACTTTTCCACAGGCAGCATTTGTGGCCACATTTCTGTTGTTATTTCTCAGCAGAACACTCATAATTTTTTAAATGGCTGCAGATTTATCAGCCCAGCAGAGGGAAACAGCTGGAGCTGGCACCCCCAAACTGCTCCAGATGTGCCACTCAGGAGAAGGAAGAGCCAGGATGTGTCTGACAGAACCTGCCATCACCAAAACCCAGCACATGTCCTGGAAACACACAATATGAACATGCTGCCACGTGAAGATTGACTCAGACTGAAATAATGGTCTGGGAAAATCTTTAGAGTGCTGAGGATCCAGACTTTGTAGGGGAAAATAGGTCTCAGTACGTTTAAAATTCTGTCAGAGTACTACAAGTGAAGAGCTTGAGGAATCTGCAAAGGTGATATTCAATATGAAGAATTCAATTCAAATTCAAATATTCAGTATGGAGAACCTCCTCAGTTTCTCAGGTGTGTGAGGTTTTGGCAGCACCACTGGGAAAAAGGAATCCCCTTTTCTTCACGGGTGACCCCACATTCCAATGGCAATCTGATGGAGCAGTGCTCTGTACTGCCAACAGTAATGGCTAAAAAAAATCCCAAAATGAGCTCTCAGACGTTACCCAGAAGCTTTAAACAAAACTTTAAAGTTTTGTGGCCTTAACTTCTCTCTAAAGTTTCATAAGCTCCTATTCTGGGAGTATGGAGGTGCTGAAAATTAGCTGCTGTTGCAAATTTCATTCTAGAAATGAACAAAAGGAAAACTGGAAGTGGAGACAAGTGGTGAAAATTTTACATAACACAGACCTCAATCCTGCAACATTACCTTGACTGCACCGTTTGAGACAATTGTGCATTGAAAATACAGGGAATTATATATAATCTTATGGCAGCAAATAGATCATCTTATGGAAGTAAAGCAGAAAAGAGAGTGTGGGCCTTTGTTCTTTCTCTTCTTAATTAATATAATCTTACTGTATGGGCTTTTAATATTCACAATAAAAATTACATGCTTCATAGATGGTGGTACTGATTTTCTGAAGATTTTTTGTGCTTTGAGAAGCAACATGAATAAGAAGAGTACAGCTAAATACCAACAGAGCTGAGATGCATTTTTTTTTTCCTTTAGCAGTGTTTTAGTTCCATGAGAGAAATATGCTCTAAAATGTTTTAAGGAGGCTCAGCCCTTGATCCAGCCTGTGCACTGCCACGGGGTTATTTCTGGTCTGTAAAGACATTAGCTTATGAAAAAGTGAAGCAAATTTAAAAAGACGACTAAAATGTTTAAAATCCTCACTGGAGGCAGCGAGTGCATCTTTTGATTCTAAAGCTTCATTACACCTGCTCTAGATTTGCCTTCCACACCAGTTCACTTCCAAATCATTTGGTGTATTAGCATGGAAAAAAAAAATAGATAAAATAAAAATGTAAAAACAGCTTTTAACAGTAAAATCCTATATCACAAAATATACAAAGAATAAAAATGAATGAGGAAATAGAGAAATGGTTCTTATTTGCCTGCTGAGAATCTGTTTGGTTTTTTTAATGAAGCAAATTGCCTGCAAGTTTTCAGGCTGATGTGGAGATGAATCAGAGATGAGAGTGATACAGAGGGAGCACATTGCAGATGAAACAGGGAAGGTTTCAGTCCCCTTCAAGCACCAGTGAGAGTTTATTTCACGTGGCACAGCTGCCTCCTGAGCCCTGTGCTGCAGGACCTGCAGGAGAACATTGATTTCTTTATCAAAATCCCTGCAGTCCCTTCTGTAACTTCAGCATTACACAGGAGGATCAGGACAGAGGTACCAACTTTAGGATTATTCTGAGGTGGGGATGTGTAAAAAAAAAAAAAAAACCAGAGTTTATTCCAGGCTTTAGTGCTCTGGGATTCTGGATGGAAAAGGAGCTGGGCTGGTTTTTGTGAGCTGAGCTCTGTCCTTGCTGCTGAACCTGGGCATCACTGTGCAGCTGCTGCCAGCTGTGAGCTGTGCACGAAGCCAGGCTGCCAGGAATCAAAGCCCAGAGGGAACAGGGAGCCCCTGCTCCATGAATTCCAAGTGCAGAGCAGGGATAACGAGCACCTGAACAGCTCCACAGCACCAGAAATCCTCATTAGCAATGCCTGTGGAAAAAAAAAACAAAAACAACAAAAACAACCCTCCTAGATGGCAACTGCTGCCTTCCAGAACTCATTTCTGAGTTACTCCCAGTGAAACAGGCATTGCTGATCTCCTATTTGCTAAAGGACACATTTTTAGTAGTTTGTATCTGAAATCCCACAGGTAGCCAAGAGTCAAATCCAAATATTTGGCTGGTTTTTTTCTCTTCAGAACTCTTTTCTGTGCTGGAATGAGAGAACAGGGCTGGGCTGCCTCAGCCTCCTCCTGGAAACCTTCAGAGCTGCTCCCTCTGCAGTGCAGGAGCCCCTGGACTGACAGTTCCGAACTCTGGGATCACTTCCACACTTTAGAGCTGTTGGGAGAAGCTTTTACAAGCTCCAGGTTTGAACCTTCTTATCTCTTCAACAGAAATCCTCTGCCCTAGGTGCAGCCTGGAATAGAGCTGGGGTATCTCAGATGCAGGAAAATGGAAAAATTTAGGAAATAAAAATTACAGCAGCAACTTACTGCAGGTCCAATAATGCCCAGATGGACACTGGGATCCTTTCTGTGCCAGTCTGAAACAGAGGAACAACTGTTTTATTAATAAACATTATTAATCTTTTAATCAGTATAAATAGCTCCACGAATAAAGAAAAATTAGACAAATATTGTATTGCTACTTAAAAGACAATGTGCACCAGATCCCAGCCCTCTCATTACTCCTCAGAATTCAAATATTAGCAGATCTCAAAGTCAGTATTTAGCCTTGCTGCTTCATGCAATCTCTTCTGACTCAAGGGTTATTTAACTAAGCTCAGATATTAATTTTGAATCACTCAAGAGAACAATGCTCTGTATAATGCAGTGACTCTGGCCACTAAGCCAAAATTACTTGAATATTTTCCTGTGTAAAGGAACATGTGGAAGTAACTGCAACCATTACAATCATTACTCAGTAATGTGCACAGGAGAAATCTGCTGCTCTTTGAATCCCAGGAAATAACAATGCAGTTCACCACAAACTGCATTTGGTACTCAGCATCACCAGGTTTAAAGGGCTGTAAAAGTGAATAGTGCAGGCTGAATTTCCAGCTCAGAATGCTCGAACCTTTTACAGACACAAACAAAGCCTGACAAAATATTCCCTTTTGTGACTGTGAGGAAACTTCAGCCGAGTCTGAGCACGGAGCCACAACAATGGGTGGTAAAATTTGTTTGCAGCTTCAATGGCATTAATTAGCACACATGCAAATCAACAAAACAGCCACGGGACAGCAAGATAAAAAAGTTATTTTGAAGCAGATGATATTTTCTTTTGTCTTCCATCAATATTGCATGTAACAGCAAAACAGTTTTCTCAGCAAGTAAAACCATCAAATGTTGCTTTGATTCGCTCTGTTATTCCCAGCAGGATGGGAGAGACATGGCACAGAAATAATGTGTTGAACAGATCAGTGGTTACATAAGAATTTCTTTTTTCAAATGTAAATATATGATGATGTTTTCCTGCAATGAATAAAACACCTCATGCCAAACTCACAGACATTAAAAGAAGGCACTGAGTGACAAAACAAGAATATTCAAATAGCCACCACTTACCTGAGAAAGCTTCCACCAAGTACAGAGGGTCTTTGACTCTTCTGAGCCCACACACCAAAAGGAACAGATGTAAAGTGTCTGTGTCTGCAGGAATGTCTGGAACAAATAATTGTAAAAACCATTCATTAAAGCAGATTAAAAACTGAGCACCCCAAATTGTTCCATGAACGAGCACATGCAATGGTAAAAGCAACCAAAGAGTGGATTATGAAAAATTATCTTTATTCCTTCTGTTTCTTGCCCTTGCATCAATCCTCAGATGGAGGATTTCCATCATTGTATAGAGCACAGGTGTTCATTTCCAGGGGCAGTGAACGTGCAGGACTTGGAGACAACCCTGGGGGCTGGTGGAGTTCAGGGACAGCAGAACCCAGCCTGGAGGGCCCTGAGCAGCTCCGGGTGCTTCTCAGAGATTTAATCCTAAAAAGAATAACTTTGCATCCCTCTAATAACTCCCCACCTATTTCAGATATGAGATTTGGTTAATCAGTGCAGGTCTTGGAGCTCTTTTTGTGGTTAAAGATCAGGAAATGCTCCCTGTGTTGCCAGCACTGTTAGTTAGTTAACAATACTAGTTAACAGCAGTTAACTAGAAATTAAATTATTGCAAAGCATTTCTTTTACACTTATTGCTAAAGAACAGATGAAAAATAACTTGGGGGAAAAAAAACCTTAGCATGGGAGCTTTTAACATTGAAAATCTCTTAGACACACACAGCAAAAACTCATAATTGTGCAGGCTTTATTAGGAAAAAGGTTATTAGGAAATTGCAGTTTCCATTGGGTCTGTGGCAGGACCAGGAATTGAGATCATTCTGGACAAGGCTCCCCATGTGATGAGCTTTGCTAAAACGTATTCATGATAAAACAACACAAATAAAGTGAATTAATAAACACTGGAGGGCTTGGGGTGTTCAGGTTTGATTTTCTGCACTGAACAAAGGAGTTTGGTGTCTCCAGCTCAGCCCCTCCTGGAGCTGGGGCTGGCAGGGATCACCCAAACCAGGCAGCTCTGAAAGGCTCTGGGGTCCCACAGCAAAGCTCTGGCACAAATCTCCTTCTCAAAATTTAAACCCAGTTCAGGAGCATTTCAATTCTCCCTGTCACAGGGTTCATTACTGAGCTTGTTTCATTCAACTTAAAACAACTCTGAGTTGTCAGGAGTGGCTGCAGGAGATGTGGTAAATAACATTTTACTGGTTATTGGACCAAGAAACCGTTTGTAGTTTATAACACACAAACATTTGGATTGGAAAAGCCATTCTGGTGCCATCAATACCAGCAGTGCTTTCAGTTTATGCCAAACTCACACAAAACAAGTGACTAAAAAGCATTCCCAAAATTCAGACTGCACTGGAGCTACCCCACGAGGCAAAAATACCCATTTAAAATTATGGACTCCCATTTATTGATGTTGAGCTCTGGATATTTAGAAACAGAACTTGGAGTTGGTGCTGAAAGCTCAGTCACACAGGAGGAAAAAAAAAACTGCACTCTTGAAATAACTGCTCCATTTTATGTCTTAGCAGCTTTTTGTTTCTATCTTAAAGCTTTCAGTCTTTTAATTTTATTAGCTAAGGGTTTGAAGCCCTGACAGAGCAGTTCAGTGCAGCCCTGAGTGCTGTTCTGCCCCCTGGATGAAGACCTGAACCCAAAAAAGAAAAGGAAGCTGCTCCCACAGGTATCCAGACTTCCCCATTCATCTCCTGTGCCACCCAAAGAATCTCATCAGTTACAATCCAGCTGTTTCACCAGAGAAATTGCATAAAATAATATTTATTAATGAAAATATCTCGTTCAATTGACCTCTCTCATTTTGAAAACACACTCACATCTCTCCCAGCAGACTCTCTCTCCCCTGTGTAAATCCAAATTCACACAGCCCCACCTGTCTCTGAGGGTTTTATGCACTTTTCTCTGGATCCCACATGGCCTTTCTCACACCTGTCCCAAAGGAATTCACCTCTGCCCACCAGTGCAGGCCATGAGAACCTGCTGCACTTTTATTCCAGTGTGTGCTGTGGATCTCAGCCATCACCTCCCTCATTTTCACAGGCAGGTTTCCCCACTCAACCCACGCAGAGGAGCACAGCCCATTCCTGTAGGATTGCACTGCACTCTTTATAGAGCTGGGAGCCTGTTCTCCCTCTGCCCACCCGAGATCCAACTTCAGCAGCACTTGTGACACTTGTTCACTTTCTGCCCATCCCTGGAAGGGTGAAATTCCCACATGGAGCTGCCTGCAGCACTCATTTCCCACCTGGGGCTCTCTCTGGGGCAAAGCCCCCCAACAATCAACCATTTGTGCCTAAAAACAATAATTGCAGCACCCTCTGTCCTCTCTGAACACTGAGAACACCTGAAATGCAAGGGCTGCCTTCCCAGGCAGCAGCTGGCTGGGAACTGCCCTTTGAAAAAGATTTTTTTTTTGCTTTTTCCTTCAGCTTAAACAAGATTCTGGTATGGGAATTCTTGCTATCGTTCTGCCTTTTGCAGATGAAATAAGACACGACCGCCTCATGTGATTGTGAAATGGAAACACATCAGTGTGGCACAATCAAGTTATTTTCTCTTTCAGTGCCTTCCCCGTGCCACTATCTTGTTTGAATGACAGGCAAACACCCAAATAACAAAAAAAAAAAAAGCTTCAGTCTCTTTCTCCCCATTTCAGTCAGTGATACAAAAGCAAAGATTCCCAACAGCACGCTGTGCTTCATTATGTGTCCCTCCTCAATCTTCCTGTTTGCTTGACAAACACAAAATGGAAAGATTTGTACATAAACCCTAGCAATTAAAAAAAATAAAATTAAAAAAAAAAAAAAAGACTGCATCCAGTCATTTCCAGCCATCCTTCAAGATCCACTCTGCACCAAATGCAAGCAAAGCCCTGGCACTGTAATTAACATCTCTGTCAGTGCCATAAATAATTGTTTCGAGTCACTCAGAGGTGCTGCTGTAAATAAACGCTGTCAGGGTTGGTGTGGCTGTGCTCTGCTTTGTTCCCTTGCCTTTCTCAGTGACAAACACAGCACGGCCTGCAAGGGGTGGGGGTCAGGGCAGGACAGGGATGGAGAGCAGGGAGAGGTCACTGCTGTGCCCAGGTGTGGCCAGGTGTGCCCAGGTGGAGCAGGGATGGTCACACAGGAGCAGAGCTGCTGCTGTGCTGCTGAATTTTGACATTTCAGAGTGGAATTGCTCACAAGGGCACCCAACTGCTGTGCCAAGGGTTTGCTGGGAGCACTGAAACCTGGCACAAAATGTGCTGGGGTGGGGATGAGATGGGAATAATCCTCCTGCTGACTGATTCCGAGTCAGGCATGGCCTAGAGAAAGTTGTCACTTGTCCATCCAGCCTGCTCCAGTCACCTCCAGGTGGGTTTAGTAAGTCCTTGCCCTGAAGCCCTGGCCCTGGGTTTATTTTTGGTGCACTGCTCTGAGGCCAGGCACAATGAGAGCATTAAAAGTGGAAAACTTTTAATTAAAAGTGGAAAAACAGGAGGGGCATTTTCACAACACAACAGCTCATCACATCAACTGTTGGACTGTCACAGAACCTCAGAGCCAGGGGATCCTTCAGGTAGGAAAAGTTCTCTGAGCTCACCAAGCCCAGCCATGACCCTGCCCAGGCCAGCACTCACCACATCCTTTAAATCCCTCCAGGGATCCTAAAGCACCACTGCCAGTGCCTGACACCCCTTGGGGTGAAGAAGTTTTTCCTGATCTCCAATCCAATCCTCCCTGGCACAACTCGAGGCCATCTCCTTTTGTTACTGGAGAAAACACGATTGGCACACACTGGGACAGTTTGTACTTGGGCCATTACAAAAACCTGCACAGCAAAACACAAAAGCCTAAATAATTTCTGAAGCTTCAGCAGGGACATTGTTTTTCTAAGAAAGGCAAGAATAAGTACAAGTGTTATCTAAAGAGATTTTGAAAGTGTAGATTCATTTAACTCCCTCCCTCCAGGTACTATCAGGGGAAAAAAATGCAGTAGTCATAGATGCACAATAAAAATAAATGTATTACTGCAAATCTTTAATCTTACTGAAAGCTGCAGGCCTGGAAGTGAATGAGTAATAGCCAGCATTAGCTTGCTGAGAGGTAAAGAAGAAGATTTGAAAATTAATTTTCCAACCCCTGATTTCAAGCTCACTGTTGTGCTCTGCAGACCTTTAGAGAACAACAGCAATTCACATTATTTGGGATTATTTGTCCATTTCTGGTTTTGTTCAGAAACAAAAATCTAAGCCACGATGAGATGGTGAAGAGAAATAACCTTATTTTCCTTTCTGGTCACTTTGAACCACAGCAGGTCTTTTACTCCTCTTGAAAATATTTCATTTATCCATCTCCTGAGCACCTGAAAGCATTGACTGCTGTCCTCAAAAAGGAAAGCCACAGGTTTATTGCTGAGATTTCAGTCTTTCACACAATGATTTTATTTTCTTCAGCACGAAACACAGATAAATTTGCCCAACTGTGGAACCTTTGATACTCTAAATCTTTCAATTCATAGCTTTTCTCGTGTTTATCTCCCTCTACACCAAAGAAATCCCTTCCATTAGCTCCTGTAGCCCCTTGGCACTGGAGTTTGGGTTTGTTCTGTTCCCTGGCTCAGCTGCAGGTGCCCAGAGCAGCCAAGTCTGCAGCTGCTGGAGGGGTCCTGGTGCAGCACCAGCAGCTCCTCCTGCTCCCCCTGACTCTGAATGGACTCACTGGTGACACCAGTTTGACAATTAGGAGCCCAATCAGTCCTAATTTCAGTCGTACACTTTGCCAGCTGCAGATCTCAGACATTTACTGCTGCACCATTTTACTTTACAAAGCAGTTTCTTTCTAACAGGTTGCCAATAACTTCACCCGAAGTGTTCACACTGCTATTCACACCCAGCAGTGAATTATTGCTGATGGGGCTGTGAAGACACACAAGTTAAATGAACCTGTAAACTTCCAGGGACAGGCTACTCATCCAGAAAAATTAGACTGCAAAATTCCCAATCAATTCTTCTTCTCCCCTGTTTCTCATTATTTCAAACAGATCAGCCAACAGAAAAGCTCCGTGGTTTCAGATCAGTTTGGGAACTCAGTTTATTGCTGCCATCACACAATTTTTACTATGGGCAGCTCTGTAAGTGCCCAAACTTTTACTGTTCACTTTTTCTTATGTGGGTCTCTCTCTCCAGCATAGCTTTAGGAAAATCTAATGCCTCTGTAAAACCCTGCCTGTGTCGTGACAGCTCATGTAAACTTCTCAGCTCAGAGAACAGCTGTGCTATGGAGCAGAAATTACATGAGAGCTGAAAAAAAATCAAACTACAGAAGCCTATTGCATGTTTTATTTGCTGGTGCAATAAGCATGTGACCCTATGGTTCAAAACCATTAAAGCTTTAAGTCCTATCTGTTGGCTAAACAAAGATTTCTCAGTTTATTAGTGCAGATTTGTTAATTATCTACATCTTCTCATCACCTGATCTTTACTGGGGGCTCTATCTTCCCAGCCCTATTCCAGTGAACTCAAAGGGAGCTTTTCATGCTGGAATGATGACATCAAGCCTGTCTGTGATCAGAAGCAGCTCTGCCCCAGCCTGGAGTTGTTGGAGAAGATCAGGCTCAGGTTTCTCATTTCCTTAAACTCTCCTGTCATTTTCTGTCAGCCAGTTTACAGCAAAAGGCTGAACTTCCACTGACTCTCTCAAGTCTATAAATGGGGCTTCTAAAACTGCTATAATCAAACTGATTGTGCTGGATATAGAGCCCTGCAATGTGAGGTCAGAGAAAAAAAAAAAAAACATTGTGACCTGCAGGCAGCAAAACTTCCTTAAACAGGCTGAGAGTGCTGTGCTGAAATCCTTGCTTTGGCTACTGCTCACAGTGTCTCATCCACAGAACACAAACTGTGAGGCTGCCTGTTCACCACGATGCAAATTCACTCTAAAAACTCCTTTTTTTGGGGTAGATTTAGCCAGTAAATGCTGACTAGCCAGCCCCCAGATACTGCAGCAAGGAGACACCAGCACCTCTGCAGCTCTCAGCTCTGCTGCTGAGACTGAAAAAAACACGAATTCCATGATTTTTGTACTGAGATTGTACTGCACAACCATAACAACAGAAACCTTTCACTGCACTGCTTCCATTTGTGTTGGGCAATTTACATGAGCACCCAAACCATCAAATGGGGTGAGCAAAAAGCTGGGATTCCTCAGAGTTTCGTTTAATACCCTTCAAATTTGGGGGCTGGAAGTCTCCCATTCACTTAAAGCTGCCATTAAATTCCTTTTGAAGCCATTACATCGATTTAAAGAGGCTGTTTATGTATTGGTGTCATATTTAAAGTGAGCAAATGTTTCCTCTGGCTGAAAAAAAAAAAATCAGTACAAAGAATATTCATAAGAATTCAGTTCTGTGGAAAAAAGTCTGAAAGTATTCTGAAGAGGTTATTTCATTTGAGAGAATAATTTGACACCCTGAACACCGAGGTGTTTAACAGTGATGCCTCAGATGAATTAAAAGCTGCACTGCAGGGCTTGTGCTGTTTCTTTGCATTCTGTCCTGGGAATCCTGAATTTGACAAAAGTTCAAGGGTTCTGCTAAGGATACAGGCAAGAGTTATCTGGGGAAATATTTCTCCCCCCAAAAAAATCATTAAGTGCCTTCAGACGTGGAAGAGAACTTCATGAAAAGTTTCTTAAAAAAAAAAAAACCTAACACAAATGCTATGATCTGAAGGAGACTGGACAGTTTTATCTGCTCAGGGTCTCTTCAAGCACATTGTGCAAGCCCACCCTGCCAAAATCCTTCTGAGCAAAATTGCCTCTTGCTTTTGAGAGTTTTCCTCTGATTGCTCCAAGTTTAGCAGAATTTTAAACACTTTGGAACTGCAAATGCCCAGAAAAATGCAGTTCTCTGGGAACTCCTAATTAGCCCCCAGAAAGCACAAAGGTACAGCCAAAAAGTCTGAGTCCATGTGCAGGATTAAAAGGAGTGGAAATTGCAGGCTGCCACCAGAGATGGACACGGGCACAAGGCAGAGAAGATAAACGAGATGAAACTGTCATAAAAACAATTCTGAATAATCTGATGCCAGTTTTCAAGTTATTATTTAATAAGGGCACAGATGTTAGAGTCACATTTTAGTTTGCTTTTCATGTACATTATGAATTATTTTGCACTTTTGCATTAGTGCACATTAGGCAAAAGACTGTCTCTAATATATTAGAAATTCACTTCAGGGGGAGCTTCCCCCTCCTCAATCTGTTGGCTGCTCACTTAATCACAAAATGGTTGGACAAGAGATCAAATCAACACTAAGGCTGTGCTAGCAAGTGACAAATCATTGCACTTCAGAAAATTATGAATCTTAGTGGCACTGTGCTTGTGGGCTGTGATTTACTGAGAACAAAATAACCTCACAATGCTCAATTTTAAATTGACACTGGCTTTGACTAATGGCACACATTTCCTGATGTGATAATGCCATTGGACTGGTGAGGATTCATTTGGAACACAGGGAACAGCTGTACTACCAGAGATCAGGCTGATGAATGGAAAATTGAAACGTTTTCACCAGGCTGAAATGCCCATAAATCATTCTTTTGGGGAAGGATGAAGTGATTAAAGCACTGCCCAGACCAGGTGACTCAGAGCCAGCTCACCTGCCTCACCTGCCACTGCTTTGGGGACAGAGCAGAGACAGGCTCCAGCACAAGAGCAAATCATCAGATTTTACATCTTCCTCCTCTGCAGTAGCTGTGCCCTGCTGGAGCAGCCCCAGTTTGCCCAGTAAAGCACAGAGTGCCCAGAACTGGTGCTGTGCTCTCAATGGGGACACTGAGCCACAGGCTGTGACCACTGCAGGTGCAGCTCAGCCCTGGCCACACCTGGAATTTGGGGCAGTCTGGGTACTGGATGAACCAGACTCATCTCATTGATGTTCTGCCACTTTTCATATCATTAAGGCACTTTGTTACATAATTAGTTAAACTCTAAGTTTCTTTCATTCTTGACACCTATTAGGAATAAACACAGGGGAAAAAAAAATGAGTTTTACCTGCATTTTGTAGAAATCTGTACCAGTCAAATGTTGCACTGGGTGCAGTCTTAATTCCTGTGCAAAGAAAAAAAAAAAAAAAGAAAATAAAGATTCCCATGTTTAGTGTCCCCTGGATGGCTGAGCTGTGCTTCCTGGAAATCTAAAAAGAACAATATTTCTAACAAACACCCCGAATTCCCAGCTGCAGCTTTCCTCACCCCAGCTGTGTCAGCTTCCCCAGACAGGTTGAAATGAAGTGGAAAATTTTGTACAATCTCCCAGTGTTTGAAGTTCTTCAGCAACAAACCCTGCTCAATCTGGCCTTGTAAAATTGCACAGGGGATAACATCCCCTTCCAAAAGAGATCAGGGTAGCTGCACCCACAGCCCTCAACATAAAAGGAAGCAAATTAAATTTATATTAAAAAAAAATTAATCTATCCTGAATGTTAATGTATTTGTTTTTCCTTACATTAAAGATGAAATAAATTAATAAAACCGGTTCATCATTAAAATAATTAATCTCTTCTTTAACTCTTACCTCACAAGAGGCTTAAATATAAACTGGATATGGGCTAAACAGATTTCACAACGAGTTAATTCAACAGCACAGTCTGGAAAAGAATGTTATTTTCCTTGAAAGTGGAATACACAAAATGGAATGAGCTTGGGAATCCTCAGAGAGCTTTTTTTAAATAAATAAAATTAGGGAAATGAAGTAATCACCCCTCAAATACTGAGTTGTGCTCCCTGGATTAATCACTGAGTGATGGACTTGGCTGGGAATTCGACTTGGAGCACTGAAAGGAATTTGGGCTTTCAGAAAAGAATTCTTCAGCATCCAAACTTGAGCAGCTTTGGGAGCAACGTCGGTGCCTTCAGTGTCACTTCAGTGTCACTTCAGTGTCAGATTGCTGCAGGAAGGAGCTGGGCACGCTGCTGTTAAAGCACCACAGGAGAGGGAAATTTTGGCTGAGACTCTGAAACACTGCCCCAATAAAGGTCAGGGGCAATAAAAGCCCGAGTGCAGTGGAGCAGGACCAACCCCAGCCCATTTCTGCAAAATGTGGCTGGGGCAAAGGAGGCACAAACAGGAGCCAAGCACACGAATCAAAGGTTTGGGATCTCTTCAGCAGAATTTCAAAGCTCTCACCTTGACTTTGGACGTAGATTTTCTTCCTAGCATCTGGCTTTAAAAGGAAGGAGAAGAAAAAATTATTTCCAGAGTTCAACATAAAAATATCTGTTCAGTCTTAAAGAAAACCCCACAATAAAGAGTAACAAAATATATCAGTAATTTCCATTCACTATGTCCATTTATGGTATCAATGAATCAGTTTTGCAATTGGCACAATTACCAAGTTAGTAAAAATATCTTTTTTAGTTTGTCTCTGCATCCTTTCTTTGGATCGTTATCCTGTTTTCCTGGAATAAAATAAATTTCAACTATCTAGCTGAAAATCAGCTCTAGGCTCCCAAAAAGCTGTTGGTTTTGAAAATCCAGTTTCCATTTATCCATAATACAATTTATAAACAGATCAGTTTCAGATACTGCTGTCAAATACACAGACCTGCCTAGACAGAAAAACTGGTGCCTGGTAGTTATTGCAGAACATTCACAAATAAAAATTGCAAAATAAATTACTTTAAAATAGCTGTAGTAAAAGAGGTAATTACTACACTTCCAAAATCACTCCTGAAGTGCTGCTCTGCTAGTTATTTAATTTAGGTGATTAAAGAAGCAATTTCCTATTTCAATATCTTTCTATAACTCCAACTGTGGATTTATGGAGTACTTTTTTTTTTTTTTTTTTAATGAAAAGAAAATCAATTCAGAAACAAACTTCTAAGTAACCAATTCCTGAACCAGTCACCTCAGGAAACAGGAAGCCACAGAAGTGATTTCTTTTTTCTTTTCTTTTTTAAGTGCAGAGATTTTGGGTTTCCCTATTGCTCCTCAGTCCCCTACCCAGGCACTGCAGTTCCTAAAAACGAGCTGGGAAAAGAAACTGAGAGAAGAGTTTTTAAATGACTTAAAAAGTCATTTGTGAGCAGCTCACAGATGGGAAGGAGGCGGTTCCTGAGAATCAGAGGGAACAACGTCACCAAAATGACACAAAAAAGCAGCAAATCCACGGGGGAATGAAGGGGGGAGAAAAACCCTGTGCTGCAGAGGAAGCCTGAGGATATTCCATGCACTTGATCTTCCTTGAGCTTTTGTGTTCAAAGGATTTTTAAAAATAAAAATAGTTTAATACAACATTACATGATTTTATTAACACTGAACCTTCCCTGACTGACATTTTGAATTATACTGAATTTTCCAATGCAAACAATGGGACAGCACTGGGAGCTGGGGGCCAACTGCAGAATTTAACTTTGCAGAAAAAGTGGGAGAGCAAAACAGAGAAACAGGAGGTGGCAAAAGCAGAGGGGCAGCAGCCCCCAGCCCTGCCTCACCCCCTGCTCCCTAAAAACACCAATTTGCAAAAAAGAAATTCAACTTAAGCATCTTCTTTCATGCCCTGCTGGACCCAAACGGCTCAGGGTGAGTAAATACAATTATTCACTACAATAAATAAATAAATTTAGCACAATAAATAATCTTGGCAGGGCCTGGATCATCAAGCAGAAAATGGCAGGAATGCTGTGGGACAGGGCAGGGAGATGCACTCACACTATGGATCAATTTTCCTCTTATGTTCCTTATTTTAAATGGGCTCGAGGAGAATGGAAAATGAGATTGAATGCTAATAAAACTGGCTTAGGTAATTCTTCTGCACCAGTTTTATGCCACTGAAATAAAATGCTGGCCATCAGCACAAGATCTTTTACAGTATTTCAAACTCCCCTGGAATACAGATTATTACAAGGGTTGGATTATAATTAAGGGTAATTTAACCAATGTAATAGAGAAGAATTTGTTGGAAGGGACAGCCTTTGAGTACAGCACAATTGCTTACATGTTTGTAATTTAAATTCTTTATTATTAAAGGCCACATTAGAGGAATAAGGCAGCTCACAGCAGAGTGAGGTAACATGAAAAAAAATCATTAATATCCCACGAGCTGGGCATGGAAGGATGTGCTCATGCTCTTCACTGCTCAGAGGGAAATTTGTGACATTTTCTCTCAGCTTTGACACCAAAATCCAGCAGAACAGGAGCTCAAAGCCCCAGCACTGAAGGCACAGATTTCAGTTTAGGACGTGGCATCTTCCTCCAGTTCCCTGTCTGCCACAGACCCCCAAAACACTGAATTATTCCCACGGGCCAGAGTGCAAAAGTGCTTAGGTAAAATCAAAGTCTGGTACCTAAAAGCATTTGAGGTGCTGGTTTTGAAATTGTTTCAAAGCTCAATTTTGTTTCTTCTCCTTACACTCTGTTACTTTTGTCCTTTTCTTGCTCAATGTCTCTGACAGAAGCTGTGCCCTTTCACATTTACCCATCAGGAAGTTCATTGGAGTAACCATTAAAATCAAATTACACTTGGAAAATAAAATACCAAATCCCATGTCTGCTCATGTATCCTTTTAATGCAAATAGATTAAAAAAAAAAAAAAAATCAATTAATGCTGAAATAAGGTATTGCAGGTCCTACTGCTGGGTTGTGCAAGCTCCACTCTCAGTGATTATTTTTTAGGCAAGAGTGCCTTAATGATCAGACTATGATGCAAATTAGGGCTGAAGAGGTACCGGGCACTTTGTTTCAGTTTCTTGCATTAATTGTGCAGCTTCAGCTGATGTTTCCCAAGGGGAGGAGAGTGGAGCCAACACCCCAGAGCAGGGGGCTCCTGCCTTGCTGCTTTTATCCCATTAAATCTGGTGTTCAGCACAATAAATCCGATTTACCTCTGCAGCTCACCTTGACAAGCTCATTCTATGCCCAGAGTCAACAAAATAAACACTTGCAAATTATACTTCCAAATTCTTTATTACAACTGATGCTGCCTGGAGGAATTTTGTCCACGTGAAGTTTAGTGAGTGATGCAAAAAGAAACAATTTGGCATCAGCAGAGACTCGGTAACAACAAATGATTTGTTTTAATTGTTACAGAGAAACATTTCCTGAACTGTTCCCCACTTTATCTAACACTAAACAGTTTTTAATGCCAGATCTCTGACCTGTTGAAGTACATCAACACAAAATGCTTTCACTGAAAGGAAAAGCAGGACTGGGAATGGTGAGGATTATTGCAGTTCTCTAGCACGATTAGGAAACATTTATAAATATAAATGCATATATTTAATACTGTATTACCCCCCCACAGAAACATACCCACTGTGCTGCTGCCAGCTCCTTCATTTCCACTGTGAAAGCCACTGCAAACCTGGTAAATGCACAAAAATAGTTGGGATCATCTGCTTCAAGTGTTTAAACGGTTTTTTTTTTTTTTAAAAAAAAGTGCTTCAGAAAAAACTCTTGATAAGAACTAAGATCAGAGGCTTATAAACCTGATCCCAGATGAAAGACAAAGCAGGATTTCCACTTGTTCCAGCAGAAAATCGTGGTTAAAGCAAGAGCAGCTCCTCAGGCTTTACAGCTCAGCTCTTGGCAGGTGAAGGGAGAAACCCCCCAAGGATGGGGATGTAGCCAGATTAATTAATTAATTAATTAATGGCCAGAGCTGCAATCTGGATTTCCTGCTCCTTTTCACACCCAGAGCAGCCAGGAGGGAGCTGAGCTGCATCTCCCCCCCGTGCTGTGACAACACCCGGTGCCACCCTTTGCAATGAGCCCAATTAAAATGAAGGTTTTTAACCTTTCCCCTCTGCTCTCAGCCCGTTCCTCACAGCTGGACACATCTGGGTGCCTTTGGGAAATGTCAGCAGTGGGCTGGCCCCGTGCACAGCACAGCAGTGACAGCATTTAAAAAGCAGCACTGATAGGAAAAAAAAATTTCATTTTTGGGTGTCCCAGCACAGCCAACAAAAAGCAAATTGCTCAACACACTCGATAAACGAGTTATTGCAGCTGGGACCTTGCTGTAGCACCTGGATGTGAGATGTTTTTACCCAGAGTGAGGAAAGAGCTCCTGTTCAGGCTGGGTTTTAATCTGGTTTTTAAGCTGTCATGGAAGACAAACACAGGCTTTGGGTGTTCTCAAAGGGAACCTCGGTGTTAACTGGGCCATTTCTGCACACTCTCAGTCCTGTGGAAAAGAATGTTGGAATGGAACTCCTGTTAAACACCTTTTTTAATTACTTGATATTGAATATAAAAGAGAGGTCATCACTCCTTGCACTGCTGGTCCAGTGCTTCTTTTCCATGTGATTTCTGACCTGTTTCTGTCCTGGGCCAAACCTCTGACACCTTAAAGGTATTTGAGATAAATCACAGCAGCCCCAACCAGGACAGAGCTTCTCCACTGGAGATGTGATGTCATCATTTGAGGCCATGAAATCACAATCATTCATTAGAATTCCCAGAAATGCTGAATTATATTTAACTCCTGCTTGTTGAAACAAACCCCCTTCCCCTCCATTTGTTCTGTAGGATCTGCTTTATGGCAGTGCCATGAATTTCACACACACAACTCGACAGCTTTAAGGTTATTAAAGCCTTTGCAAATGTTTGTTTTGTCAAAGCTGCACGTGCTCCCTCCCCAGATTTTGCCATTATCCTTTCAATATATCACATTAACAAGCAGAAAAAGATGTTGCTTCTAAGTCTACAAAATACTGCTCAATAAGGAAAAAAAAAAAAAAATACCCTAGAGGAGTACAAGCACCATTCAGAGGAATTTGATTAAAAATGAAACACTCATAAGGCTAGACAGTGTTCAATAGTTTGTTTTATGGAATGTGGTGGGATATTGTACTGGACAAGTAATCTACAATTCATGATGCTTTCTGCTTAGAACCCTGCAATCAATAAAGAAAAGAAAAAAAAAAAAAATCAATGTTTCTTTTAATAACTATGCAATGAATAACACCAGTGATGCTACAGCACAAGAGGTACATTCAGAATAACTCCCAGAAAACTGAGATACTTTTCCTGTAGCAGAGAAAATATTGTCAACTGCATAAGAGTGTAGTAATACATTTTGAAATATCATAGATAATTCGAGCTATTAAGGTATACCTCAGGTTCCCAACTCAATATCATTAAAAAACGTTCAGTAAAGCACAGTTTTTGTATTAGCTGTGCTTGTGACAGACAATATTTTAAACAGAGATGGATTAAATGGACACAGAAATTGTTTTTATGTATTTCTCATTTTGCACAGTGCTGAAATTTATCTGACACTTTAGATGTCTTTTTCTTTTCCTTCAGACCTGTTTAAAGAATAACTTCTGATTACTTGATAACAAAGGTAAACAAGCACATAAATTTTTTTCCTGAGTGGAACCTTAAGCTGCTTTCAGCTCCAAGTCCCACAGCCACAAGCACATGCCCTAATGATTTTCCAATGAGAGTGATTAAGTGCTGTCTTTAAAATCTGTTTACTTACCACATTTTATGGGGGATTACAGACAGAGCAGCACATCTCTGCCTGTGCTAAGTGAGCCAATAATAGCTGGAAAATAGAGTGGTATCAGCAAGGATAAAGCAGGAGAGAGAAGCCTGGTGCAGATCCTGCCTGACCCCAAATCCATCCTGCTCTGAGCAACAAGGAAATTTCCTCCCCCACCATGGCCAGGATCAAACACTGCTGAAGTCAACAAACCTTTGGATCAGCCAGGAGAAAAACTCTCATCCGAGGATGTTGAAACTATGAGAGATGTTCAAAAGCCTTTTTGGTTTTTAGTAATTTCCTGTGGTTTATGAGCAGTTCTTGATCTACATTTGATGATTACACTGCCATGTCACTGGAACTTTCCAGACTTTAAAACACCCTGAAATCACTCTCTTGTCATTTCACCTAAAAACTGAGAGAATTTGCTTAAAGCCTTCTTTCAGCCTCTGCTTCTTTGCTCATGGACTCAGGGAAAGGATCACATTAGCAGGAGAAAAAAATAAAATAAAATTTTAAAAAAATCTGCTTGTACTTGAGGGATCAGCTTTTCATTCTGTCAATAAGCTGTGTGAGAGGAGCACAGGAAACAGAAAACAAATAGACTGCACACACACTGTGTTTGCTGATGAAACTGTTCCACTCCCACCACTGAATCACAAAGTAATGGGTAAAGATCACAAGGATTTCATGGAGTCTGCTCTGTCTGCTGGCCTCCACATCTTCCAGTGATTCCAAGTGTGCATGGAAACTTCCTAAAGGATCTGCCACACAAAAAAATGCAATTTGCTGTCACAAGTCTTTCACCCATGCTCTTACCTGGCTTCTTCCAGCACTGCTCCCATTACCTGGCACTTCTCCTTACATTTAATGTCTTCATTTATATCTGTGCCACCAAAGATGATCCCAAAAGGAATTCTGCTCCCTGCAAAGCAATGAGAAGTTGGCCAACATGTCCATGGAATGCCCAGGAGTGAGAAAGTACATTGATAATACTGAGTCACCTATCTGAGCAAAAATCTTTGGAAAGGAAATCTGGAGAAACTTGAATTTTAATTTTTTTAGCGCTGTGACCCCCCACACAATAACTCAGCACTTTCACAGGACACCAAACCAAATGGGAAACAAAGCATGTTGATAAAGGCAGAAAATGCACCAAAGACTTCACATTTGTATTTGAAAGTTAAGTGAGCTGTAAGATCAGGATTTATTAGCATTGCTAATCTCCTCATTACTAAATGAGAGAGCAAGCAAAAAGAATGAAAGACTAATTACCATTCTGGTTAGTCAGAATTTCCTTGGCATCTGTTGATATTACACTCCAGTGTTTGCAGGTGAAGGAATTAATGTGCACTATCAAAGCACCACTGCCTCTAATCTTCAAGAGACAGACTGTCTGTAACACCATATAGAATATCTATCACCTCTTTAAGAAATTAAAAAGTGAATAATTATTATGTAATCTAGTACGTGTGTTGATCATGTAAACAGAATTTCCAGGATGAGGCCAGACAGATCAATAGTGTGGCAGCAATGAGTATGAGTGCAATCACTAAATTACTAAATTTCTAAATGTTCCAGGAGCCAGGAATTCCTCTGAATCCCTTTTGTCCTCCCAGAATTCTGCAATAACTTTTACACTTGGACTGTGATCATCTCAGCAACATTACTGTTACTGCCTTGCCTTTCAGAGATTTTTGGTTTCTTTTCCCTTCAGTTACTGCAGATAGTTTTTAGAACAGTGGAATTGATTTATTTAAATTCCTGAGCTTTTGTAAAGTATCAGGCTTTTCAGGTCACGTGGAATTTTGAAAAGCAGCAGCATTTGGGCATTGCCATGCACGTTAAACTCCAATAAAATTTTACTCCAATAAACAGTTAAAATTCCACTTTATCTTTTGTTCCTCTGCAAAAAATCCCAGCAAAACTCCCAAAAAAATATGGTTCTCAAACTTTCCAGAAGCCTCTTCCAAAACAATTCAACATCTTGTCAAAAAAACCAACCACCTCTATGTTCCAACAAGCCCTTAATCCATACGTTTGCAGGGCTCATTTTACTGACTTCTTTTGTATTTGTATTTTAGGTCTCTGCTGAAATCAGAGCCCCTTTGGAACAAAAGAAACCCGGGCAGAGCAGACATCATAATTCAGGCTTTCTGTAAAGCCACCAGAACAAACTGGGGGGGGCACTCCTGAAGTCTCCAAGCTCGCCCTGAGATCTGAGGGAAGGATGGAATTATGTGCCTTTGTTCCAGTGCACGGATTTATGCAACACAAAGGTGGTCTCAGAAAGGGATTCACACTTCTGCAATTTCAGTAGGTGACAGTGTCTGTAATTTTGGAGAGCCAGTGCTTCTAGTGTATCATTAATGCAGGCTAAAATTTTGTTCTACGTGGCTAGAGAGAATAGAAAATTTTATTATTTGTCTGATAACATCCTGTCTCCTGTCTCCAGTTTAGCTGACAGCAATGTTATTTCATGTCGAGAAACTCTGACTCATTTTTGAGCAGAAAAATCAAATTAGCCTCCCTTCTTTTTTCCATTTGACCCCAGCTCTACTTAGCCAAGTCATTGTCCTCTGAAAGAGCACATTTGCTGAAAGGATTCCTAATGTTAATGTAATGCTCTTGTCTTGATGTAGTTAAAGTACTTAATTATCAAAAGCACTATGTGGTTTAAAAGTACATTTATTCCCTTCTCTCTGCATCACATCTCCCATTGAGACAGATTTTTGGCATTTCTGAGCGTTGGCTGAAGTGGATAAACAGAAGAAGGATATTTGTGGGTTTATACATTTATAGCCATTTATAACAGTTGGGATTCATTCTCTTCCCTTGCAGGACTTTTTTAGGAGATATTTTTAGAGCCAAGTAGAAAGAGGATTACCTTGCAGCAGTCTGCCTCCTTTGTAGAGGTGAATGGCCAGGGCTGCATCAAACTTCTCTGTGGAGATCAGATTTGCTATTTCAGCTGCACTTTCATACATGAAAGCATCTTTAAGGACACAGACATGACCTGCAGCTTGTAGATGATTCCTTCATTATTGGAACAAATAGAAAAAGAATTAAAAAGTCACTATTAATGTTCCAGGTACACCGGTATACGAAGTAAGCTTAATAAAAAAGTTTTTCCTTAAACTTTGCTCTGGCTTTTAACTTGATGCCATTTTTGTTCCAGCAGCCAGGAACTGTTTACAAGGCTGGGTTTTCTCCTGGAAGGAATTTGTCACCTTCACCACTGTGCAGCCACAGGCACATTTCCAAGCAATGGAACACCCCATGGCCCAGGCCTGAGCAACACAACCTTGGAAACTTCTCTGAAAAATCAGAAGAAATTAAGTTTGCTCAGGACCCCTCCTGACTGATTCCAGCTCCTCATGCTGAAATCCTTTTTTTGAACTGGGTGTGTCTCAGAGATTCTCACACCTTTGTTCTGGAGAAAGGACTCCAGGTGAAGAGAGCACAAATCTGGCCAGCTAGTCAATGCTATTAAAAACACAGAACATCAAAAATTATTGCATCAAGAAAGCCAGAGAGTTGCACTGTGTTCCCTTTCTGTTTGATTGTGGCCTCAATTGCTTCTTGTCTTAGCTCATCCATTTAGAAACCAAGCAAAGGAATAAATGAAGTATAAGCAAAAAACTACCCAAAAGTAATTGCACAAATGCCTTCACAGCCTGCTTTAAAAATCTCAGCTCCCAAAAGAAAAAACAACAAATCCAACAACAAACCCCTCACAGTGTCAGCTTACCCATTCATCTTTATATACAGTGGTTCCTCATATTAAAACGTTGATGTTTTAATTTCTTGACTGCCAAAGTCAAGAAACTGATTGATTACAGACAGCTTTACTCCTCTCCCTGAAACCAGAGCCACTCATCAATGTTCCCAAGAACATCAGCCAAAAAACAGGAGAAAAAAAAAAAAAAAATCTGCGTCTGTGTCTGCTGACATGGAGTGTTTGCATTGTCAGTATCATAAAAACACCACAAGAATAAAACAGTATCATAAAACCACCACAGGAATGTTCTCTGCTTATTCCATATTGTTGCAGTTGATTTATTTCTCATTGTGTATTAATTGTTCTGGCATTAAAATCCTGCCAACTCATTGACTTCCTGGATAATGTTGGCTTTCATTTCCTGATAATTTCATAGCCTCCCAAGAAATGGGATTTTCTGTCCTGTAGAAGTCAGTCATTACTGCAGAAATTGGTGCTAAAAGTGCTGTAAAATATCTGAAGGAATGTATTAGCACTGGATCAGAGAGAGCTCCACTGGCACAACATATGGTGCTGGATTTCTTCCTTATCCTAAAAAGAAACTCCTTTTAATTCCACCATTCGATACAAGACCAATCAATTATGATAAATACTAATAAATAATAAAATACAGCCACATTTTAAGCTCCTTATTTACACTGCTGGGCAATTACTAACAGCAGCTGCCCCATGAACCTGCCTTCCTCTTGAAAGAGGTTTTTAATTTATATCTAAATAATGATGCCCAAATCTCCCAGCTGTGGAGAGAAAAATCTCTCAGGCAAATACTTGGGATTCTCGTGCATGTATTCCATAACTTCACAGGTGCTCATTAAATAGTCTAAAAGGTTTTTTTTTTCCCCATCAGTATTCCAATTACCATAAATCACTATCATGTACAAGCAATATGTTTGCATGTTACAATTAATTCGGAAATAACTCTCTCAGGACATCAGGAATCAAGAAATTCAGCCAGGAATTCCAATGGAAAGTGGTTTTTTTTTTAAATATACTAGGGATGACTACTTCTCCTCCACACTTTCCACAGCTCCAAATCTCCCTGGGGAATCACAGCAGTTTCTGCAGTAAATAGAGAGGGACTCCCTCAAGTGTTCCAAGGCTCAGAAATTGTGCATTACCTCTACTACTTAAAAAAATTTTTTTTTTTTTACAGATTTTTATTCTACTCAGGAGCTCATAAAAATTTGCATACATCTTTAGAAGGAAAAACAAGCAAATATTCCCAGAATAATTCCAATTCCCAGATTTAAAGAGGCCCTGAGCCCCTAAACATTCCATTGGGTTTGATATCATTAATCACAAGCTTCAAATTATGCACATATGGAAATACATGTGTGCAGAAGCTGAGTTATTGGGTAATATTTAAGCACTAAAACTTACAGGGCTATTTTCAGATTTTCTAAATGGCTTTTCATCTTTATAACCAAAAAAAGCAGCCTGTGATTTTCACACATATGCTGTTACCAAGGAACACAGATTAGACAGTGCTGCAGAGTTATTGCAGGGGATTTTTTTTTTTTTTTTTTTTTGGAAGACTGATCTGTGTGTGAAGTCACAGATGTCCCTGAATGACGCCAAGACACAGCAGACACATTACCCACATCTCTCCTCCTCCTGGCAAATGTCTCCTCACATTATCTTGCCATTCCATAAACAAATACTTTCTGAATGAGAAATAAAATCTAACCCAGCTCCTGCTGTCTGGGAACCCAAGAAATGCTCAATCTCAAGGCTATATTTTTCTCTCTATCACAGCTCTCAACAGAGGAGATAAATTCCCAAGTGTGTGTCTCCACAAACAGCAATTATTGCTCAGATCTCGAATTTGCCTTGCCATATTTTTTCCTTTCTACTGAAACTCTCACGGAAGCTAATGCCATGACTTGGGGAAAATAATATTTCTGAAATGGAGTTGAGCTGTCAGATCCCAGATTTTGGGTGGGTTTTTTAGCAGAAAGCATCAGGGAGAACTTTGGCTATTCAGTAAATGTGAAAGAGCATTTTTAGAAGTACATGACATTGCTCACTGCTTACACTGTGATATTTATACACACCTGAATTTTGGACAAAGTATTTCCCAGTCCCGCTCATTTTAGCGCTCAGGAAATTATTTTTTCTTTTGTTTGGTACATTTTTTATATCCTTTGGAAATCACAGAGCTTATAAGTGAAACTTCCAAGTGTGTTCTCTGGATCTATACTGTGTGCAGAGAGATCCTGCTAAAAGGTACAAGACTTTTCTGACACCTTTTCACTTTGAGATTTCTACACAAAAACATTTCTCCCTAACACATCTATGAAATACCAAATGATGTTTTATACAATGTTTAATTTTTTAATTCCCTACATCATTGATCACTACTTCTCACTTTTCCTGGCTAGCAGTCCTCCCTCCTTCAGCACGAATCTGCACTTCACAGGTTTTCATATAAGGAAACGGTTTTAGATTTCCAAACACATTGGTTGATGAGAAGGCACAGGAGTCAAAAGCCCGTTTATTTCTAAGGTATTATGGTTGTGAAACTTGCTGTGTTTGCTGTGATGTGTCCCTTCCAGAAACATTTACATTCTAAATTTCAACTGATACTGATTTAACGGAATTACTTGCAGACAAAGAATGTTTGATTTCCCAAAAGTTCCTGGTAGGTGGATACACTGACACTTCTTGAATGGCACAAAATAGGCTTCACCCAAAAATATTAATTATCTCTTTCCCTCAGCTGTGCCCAAACTACTGTTAAATGTATATGGCACAATTCAGTCATTCCACTGCCTCTTAGAAACCTGGCCAGACCTGAATATTCACAATTCCNCAGCAGCTGTGCCCAAACTACTGTTAAATGTATATGGCACAATTCAGTCATTCCACTGCCTCTTAGAAACCTGGCCAGACCTGAATATTCACAATTCCCACTGAAGCTCATCAAATTACAAGAGCTGAAACCCTGCTCGAGCTTCTGTTTTCTTTGTAAATTATCTTATTTTTTCGTCACTCTTAAAACAACATGTCCTTCATTTTATTTCCCTCTCAAACATCTCCTTGAAGCAACATAGACAAATTGCATTGGCATGAGTGAAACTATGAATAAAATTCACTGTGAATCACAGAAATTCAAAATGTGAGCGAAGAAGATGGGGACCAGCTCCTGTCTGTGTGTTCTGAAGTCGCTAACTGAGCTTTGCAAGGACCAAAGAACTCTGCAAAGATTAAACCTTAATCCCATTATTAAACCTGTGCTATAAATAGTTCTGGCAGAGCAGACCATGGTGGGAGCAGCAACACTGAGGGTAGGCCTTGGAAATGATGGCAGCTCGTGCCAAGGTGCAGGTGAACACCTGTCCTGCAGGTTCCTGCTCTGGGAATGGCCCTGCAGAGCCTGCAGGGACCTCCCACACCTGAGCACAACCTGCAGGGACCCTCCCACACCTGAGCACAACCTGCAGGGAGGGACAGGAGCTCCCACACCTGAGCACAACCTGCAGGGACCCTCTCACACCTGAGCACAACCTGCAGGGAACCTCCCACACCTGAGCACAACCTGCAGGGAGGAGCAGGAGCTCCCACACCTGAGCACAACCTGCAGGGAACCTCCCACACCTGAGCACAACCTGCAGGGAACCTCCCACACCTGAGCACAACCTGCAGGGAACCTCCCACACCTGAGCACAACCTGCAGGGAGGAGCAGGAGCTCCCACACCTGCCTTAGGGACAGGAGCATCCCCTGCCCCTGGGAACGTTCTCCTGTGGGATTTTAACACTGGCCCACAGGGGAAAACAAAAAGAAGTGTTTGGATTACTGAATTTCTCCAATAAATGTCTAAGATTAAAACCAATTGCCAAGAGGAATGATAAGCGCTGTTGAATTTGTGTTTTTAATTCTCTCACAGTTGATTACTTGGAGATTTACAGAATAGCTGTCTCAACTGGCCAGTTAATGAGAGCCAAAACAATTTCTCCCTCTCCAGAAAACATTTACATATTGGCAAAATGGTTAATCTAAATCTTTCTGATTAACCTATTAATTCCAGATTTCTCTTCCTCCTTAGTACCAAGTAATAAAAGACAAACAAAACATTTCAAGGGGCAGGGAAGAATAATTTCTTTTCTTCCTTGACACTCTCTTTGATCTCATTTCTAAGGCTGAACAATGGCAGCCTAAGCAAAGGCTTTTGCTTAGTGCTGTATTCTTTATTCATTGCTCATATTTTTTAAGGTGATTAAAGATTATGCACACCAATAGGAATAAAGCCCACAGCACATTCATTATACCACTTGTTTTAGCAAGTTGATTTTTAGCCAAATTAGATTCTGGTACCTCTGTCACCACTTTCTTTAAACTCAGGAAATGAATATCTTATTTATGAAAAGATGAAGCAGTTATTGGAAGAGCTGTAATATCATAAACAAAGTATACATTGTGATATTAAGCCATAAAATTAATCTATGCTGGCAAGTGTTCAACCCGGAGACAATGTCATCGTTCCATTTATATTTAACCAAAAGTTCAATATTGAAAAAAATTGAACAAATAACTTCCTAAGCACATACACAGATACAACGGAAGCCAAAAAATTATTGTTAAAATAATTCTTTTAAAATACCAAAACCTTCAGCTTTATATCTTCAGTGCCTGTGTGAGTGACAGGACCAGCAGAGATGTTCTACCAGTACCTTAGAGAACAGAGCAGAAGCCTAAGGCTCTATTTGATATGACACAAGCAGTGTGAAAACTTAATGTCTGAGGATGTTTCTATGCATAACATTACATGTGAGATAATACCCAGACCAAGGTCAGGGAAAACTCATAATAGCAGAACATCCCAAGAGATTCATCCGAAGATAAACAACTAAACTGTGGGTGATTTTTAGATAAGACGAAACCAAATCGTTATTTCAGGCCTCAAAGGACAAAACCATTGGGAAATTATTTCATTTTTATAGCGCCCTATTTTTTTTTTTTTTTTATAGACATCACAACGAAGAGCCAGCATCGATGTTCTCAGCCAGGTCCTTTACCTGCATCACAGAAGAAGTTAAGCGGGGACATTAGGAATATATAGAAAAATAGAAAATAGAAGAATAGAAAGATACAGGGAGTATTTTGGCGGTTCTGTTAGCCCGTGCTCCCCACGAGACCCCGCAGCAAGGGCAGCCCCGGGAGCGGCTCTGGCCGCTGCCTCCCGACACCATCCGTGCCACCCTGCCCGTGTCCCAGCGCGGCCACCTCGGGCACCCACGGGCTGTGCCAGGGATGCAGGACACGCTGCCAGAGCTGCCATCCTTCACTAGCCCAGCACGCCGGGCACGGTGCCACCATCCGCAACGGGGCTGTCCTCGCCGTGTCCCCACCGTGGCCACCTCGGGCACCCACGGGCTGTGCCAGGCCACGCTGGGGACATGGTGAGCTAGCCTGGGCTAGCGGAGGATGGGCAGCTCTACCAGCGTGTCCACCTCGGGCACGCACTGCCCGTGCCGAGGTTGCCAAAGCACGCGGCTGGAGCTGCCCATCCTCCGCTAGCCCAGCGCCCCGAGCACGGTGCCACCATCCGCAGCGGGGCTGTCCCCACCGTGGCCACCTCGGGCACGCACTGCCCTTGCCAGGGTTGCCAGGGATGCAGTACACGCTGCTGGAGCTGCCATCCTTGGCTAGCCCAGCGCTCCGGGCACGGTGCCACCATCGGCAGCGGGGCGGTCCCCGCCGTGTCCCCAGCGCGGCCGCCGCCCCCCGCACACCCCCGGCTCGGCGGAGCCTCCTCCGTGCGGAGCTGGCAGCGCATGGCGAGCGGGCCCGGCCGGCCCTGGCCAGGCTAGCCAGGATGCCGGGCCAGCCAGGATGCCGGGCCAGCCTCCTCCCGCCGTGGCAGCGGCACTCACCGGATCCTGGCGGCCGTGGTGGCGTTGCCGGTGCGTGCCCGCAGACACGCCAGCAGCAGCAGCCTCATAGCGCTCCGAGCTCACCTGGCCGGCGCCCGGAAACGGCGCTGCGGAGCGGGCACGGCACCGAGCCCTGCGGGGATGGGCCAGCCGCAGCCGCTGTGCCCGGGCAGAGGGCACTTGGCTACCGAGCCGCAAGGTTTGGGTGGCCTCCCGCACCCTCTGAATAGCGCTGTGTGCTCTCGTTACTCAGGCACAGAGATGACGCGCTCACATCGCGGCCAGGAAACATTAACCCAAAGGGCCTCCCGAGAAAAGCATCACAGCCCCTGCCTCCCGGTGTCACCGTGAGCTGCCTCGTGCCCAGGGCAGGAATACCGCTAGGAAAAAACCTCAGGGTGGATAAGATGCCAACCACCAGAACGGGCAGAGGGATTTGCAATAAGATGCCCAGCACCAGAACAGACAGAGAAAAGTGTAATAAGATGCCAACCACCAGAACGGGCAGAGGGATTTGCAATAAGATGCCAACCACCAGAATAGCCAGAGGAATGTGCTAGTCCAAAGAATAAAGCAATGGGATGGTCAAAGACCACATCAGGAATCGTATAATCACATAACGAAGCAGAGCCAAAGGTGTAAGACCAGGGGAAAGGTCTAGCAAAAAACTGCAGCAGCAGGTAAAACCCAAAGATACAACAAAACAGGGAAGAGAAAAAGAACAAACCTGAACTCTGGATGAAGGAAAACATATCCCACGTTATCAAGCCAGTGTTCAGGATAAAAGGGGCCCACTCCACTCTCCACAGTCAGAAACAAAGAACACTGAGTGGGGCAGCAGGAAGAGGAGAGGCCACTTTAGGGAGCCCTGGGAGATTAATAGGGAGCAGCTGGCTGATGTAAATACCCACCTGAACTTGTTTCAACAGCTCGGAACAGTATTGAGAACAGGTGCAGGACATTGGTGGTGATGAGAAGGGGGCTGATTGCACAGAAAATTCAATTTTTTGCTTATAACCTGGTCTGATTGTAATTCACCAGGGGGTCACACAGATCCCAGCTTCTCCACAGGCTAGAGAAGACAAAAAAAAAAAATGGTCTTCAAAAATGGCAGTGCCTTGTGTTATTGTGGCCTAAATTGCTCTTCAAATTTCAGTGTCAGGTAGGCAGAGAAAAATATGCGACACGCAGAGGAATGTTGAATTTAATCGTTCTTGGAACAGTGCTCCTTCCAATAATTTGTGTGGATTTCTGAGGCTAACAGGTGTTCTGGAATTGAGGGTTTAGAAGTGATAAAAACACACATTAGAGTGGGTTCTGGCAAACTGTAAACATTTTGGTAGGCAGGCTCATGTTTTGCTAACAAATCTTAATGCTGCAGAGCTGTGTTAATTGCATCTCACTGAGTTATCACTTACATTCAGCACAACATTATTTAAACTACTTCAAACTCCACTAGAACTAAGAATTTTGGCTACAACCTAGAAGAGCAACAAATCTTGCAGAAATACTAAAAAGAGGGTAAATGCTAATCTAAGGGTAGGCAGAACCAAACCGGTTTTGTCACCATCCTAGAAAGTGTTTCTGGTATGAAATCCCACTCCTGTCGAGATGTAGAGGGTTTTTGTCAGGTGCAAGGCCTGAAGCAGGGTATCTGACTGGCTCAGAAAGCCAAATTTTGGGTTAACAAAAAGCTGTCCATCACATTTAGTGTGCAACACAAAGAAGACAAAAAAACATTAAAGTAAGACAAAGCCTGCTCCATGAGAAATGAGGAAACTCAACCAGTCAAACGAGAAATAAAGAGGGAATAAAGGAAACATTCAAAGAGATCTTAACATTTTATCACTATTTATGGGAACTCTGGCTTTATGCTATACAGGCCTTGACTAAAAAAATAATCTGGAAATGTGCAGCATTGTGTCTTGAAAATATGGACATGCATTAATGTATTCCTTTATAGACACAGGTCAGAGAAAGGGCCATGGGTGTACCAGAATGAAGTTTTAAACACACTGTAGCTAAGTATTAAAACCTCCTTCCTAAGCTGCTGTAGTGCCAGAGAGAATGTTTGGGTTCTAATAGTAATTTGTGAATTTTAATGAGTACCCACGTCTCTATACCTGAAAAGTAACATTTTAATGTACATTTCTACTACTGCTCGGCATTGTTAGGTGTGGGATAGGTCAATACAGAAATCTCACCTCGCTCACCAAGGTAAATTATGAAGGGCCTAAAACATGAAAATAAGACACAATAGTACAAAATGTGCTTTATTACTTTGAGTCTCCAGAAAATACTACTAAACTCCTCAGAAAGTGCAAGCACAGTTAATATGACAATAGTGTATTACACCAGGAAAAGATGAAATGTAATTTTATTACAGAAGTGGTCATGTTACAGTAGTTCACAATGAGATGTCTGTACAGCTGGTGGCTTTTTCCTCATTGTCCTTTGTCATGAAATTTGTTAGCTACTTAAGAGAGCAAATACATTTAGTGAGTCATTCTTATGGCATGTTATTTACAAAAGCCCATTATTAAATGAATGTATTTACTTTTACAAGCATCACTTGCTCCACTACCAACACTGCTCCAAAGTAAGTCATGCCTAAATATTTGGTATGTAACCATATGATGTCAATCAATTTAACTTTTTCACTGGAAACACAAAACCAGCAGTGTCTTACCCACTTTGTTCTGGCCAAAAATAAGGTTTTAATATCTTCTGCTGAAGACAATTTCACACGTTCACAACCTTTACCTCAACACACGTGGAACTGCAGCACATCTCAAGGTTCTGATCTTGCAACCACTAATTTATGTTTTCCCATTGTAATCACATGCTTTGTCCCACTGAAATCAGAGTGTTTATTCTCCATAATAATTCCTGCACGTCCTCACACCCAGCTCTGCTCCCACCCGAGTGACCCAGGCACAGCCTGGGTGCTGAGCCAGGCCTGCTGCTTCCAAATACATATAAAAACACACATAAAAACAAATATAAAAACAGCTTTTTACAGCGCATTTATCACCTTCTCCTTGTTGTGAGACTAACTATAGCATTAAATAACCCTGAAAAACCCCAAAGATGATTCGGGGTCTGGAGCATCTTTCTTTTTAGAGAACATTTGGAGCTGGGCCTGTTTCGTCTCAAGAAGGCTGAGAAGGGATCTCATTCATGCAGATAAATATCTCAGAGGCGGGTGCCAAGAAACTGGTGCCAAGCTCTTTTCAGTGGTGCTCAGCAACAGGAATAGAAACAATGCCCATAAACTGAAGCACAACAAGTTCCACCTCTCCATGAAGAACTTCTTTTCGCCAAGGATGGCAGAGCACGGCGACAGCTGCCCAGCGAGGCCGCGGATTCTGCATCTCTGCAGACATTCCAAACACACCTGGACGCGTTGCTGTGCCCCTGCTCCAGGTGACCCTGCCTTGCCAGGTCCCTTCCAACCTAAAAAGTTCGGAGATTTTGTCAAAACCCATTTCCCTGCTGCAAGCCCCCGCCCGAGCGGCATCCCATTCAATGCGGGGAGAGAACGCTGGAAAGAAACGAGAGAGGCGCCGCACAGCCCGGGGTGTCCGGCACTGCCGGCCGATCTGAAAGACACCATGAGGGCCTTCCCCGTCCCCAGGCCGCCCTGACGGACACCCACAGGAACCTCCACACCGCCAGGCCGCCCTGACGGACACCCACAGGAACCTCCCCGCGGCCCGGCCGCCCTGACGGACACCCACAGGAACCTCCCCGCGGCCCGGCCGCCCTGACGGACACCCACAGGAACCTCCCCGCCGCCCGCCGGGTTCCTTCACGCCCGGCCCCGCCGCTTCCGCCACGCCGCGCCCCAGCCGGCCACGTGACGGCGGGGAGGGCGGAGTGACAGCGCCTTCGACCAATGGCACAGCGCCGCTGCCGGGGGCGGGGCAGGGGATCGGCAGAGTGACAGCGCCCTCAGCCAATGGCATCGCGTCACTGGCAAGGGGGGGCGGGGCCGGCACCGGCGGTGGCCGCGGGTCCCTCCGGGCGGGCCGGGAACGCGGCGGGGCCGCGGCGGGGCCGGGGGGACGCGGGGCCATGGACGAGGCCGAGCCGAGCGAGCGCAGCCCTTTGCTGAGCAGCGGCGAGCGCGGGCGGGCCGCCAGCAGCGCGTTCCAGGGCCGGCGGCTGGCCTGCGCCGCCGTGCTGCTGGCCGAGCTGCTGGAGCGAGTGGCCTTCTACGGCATCACCTCCAACCTGGTGCTGTTCCTCAACGGGCCGCCCTATGGCTGGGAGGGCGCCCAGGCCAGCCAGGCGCTGCTGCTCTTCATGGGCATCACCTACCTGGTGTCGCCGTTCGGGGGCTGGTTGGCTGACGCCCTGCTGGGCAAGTTCGGCACCATCCTGCTCAGCATGGCGCTCTACCTGCTGGGCATGCTGGCCTTCCCCGTCATCGCCGCGCCGCACACCCGCCAGGGCCTGTGCGGGGACATCCCCCTGTTCCCCGTGGAGAACTGCTCCTCGCCGGCGGCCAACGCCACCCTGGCGCCCTGCTCCCAGGTGGGAGCCACCCGCTACTGCGCCACCGCCACCTTCGTGGGACTGGTCCTCGTGGGGCTGGGCGTCGGCTCGGTCAAGGCCAACATCACCCCGTTCGGGGCAGACCAGGTCGAGTATTGTGTGGCAGCTGCTGCGGCGCTCGTGGGTGCCCAGGGGTGGCAGAGGGGCTTGCCTTGCTGGGGTGGGCAGTGCCCGGCTGCCGGATGTCTCTGCAGGTGCTCAGCCTTGGAGGGAATGGCATCACTCGGCTCTGTTCCCTGCGGGATGCAAGTCGTTGAGCTGTGCCCTGTTTGATACAATTTTGGTGCCTGTGGGGTCTCAGATCCCGTATGTCAGATCCCTGCTTGCCCTGCCTCAGCTCTGCTGTCTGAGTTGGCTAAGCCATCAGCATCTTGACGACTTGGGGTGAATACTTAATGGCCATTAAGTGGACTATTAATTATCCTCCCTGGTGAGTTTGTCCCCAGTTAATTCGACCTCAGAGCTCATCAGACGAAGTACAGGATACACATTTTAGCTTTGACAAGGATGCCATGGGCCTTCTAAGGCAGTGTCAGAGGCCTTTACCATCCTGTGATAAAGGAACAAACAGTTTTTATGCTTTAGATATCTGTGCACTGCCTTGCCCTTGAGTGGTATTTTTGTGCAGGCTCATGCTGCATCACATGATGGGGGAAGCTGCTCTGGCCGTGGTAAACATCACCTGGGCTGTTCCTATAAGGACACGTCCTGTTAAATGACCTTATCCAGACCCTACAGTGATATCATTCATTGGTCATCCCTGCAGAACACAGTGGCTTCACAGAAAACATCTGAGAGGCAGCATGGAGTTCAGTAGCAGCTGGAACACTCTGTTACATGTACTTATTTACAGTCCTGTGCTAAGGTGCTGTGCTGGCTGTGGATGTTGAAATAGAATTTCTGCTTTACAAATGGAGAATTTCACTATGCACAGGTACTACTGAGCAGCTTTTCTAACCAAACTGAAAGTCCAGTTGTCTGTTGACTGGCTCACGGAGTTCTGCTTAGAGCAGGTTATCAGAAAAGCCATGAATTCTTTGTAAGAGGGAGGATCCACCACACAATGACTGCCAAACATACCTCTTTTCTCTGGTGTGCACTTTGCATTTGTCATTCTTTGGCATTTCATGTGTTCTAAATTCTGGAGTCCTGGCTGAAAGGCAGTATATAAATGTAAAACATTATTATAGCCCAGGATTGTGTGTCCCCAGTGCATTAGTTCTGCTTAAGCCAGCCTGAGCCCATCAAGTGAAATAGCTTTAATATGACTTTATCTTGTAAGGTGTTTTTCAAAACTGACTGCTTATCCCCAGAACGCTTTATGAAAGTTAAATATGGGGGATAAATAACGGCAGGAACAGAGCAAAAGAAGAGCCATTGCCAATGGAAGTGTAGCTGTTGTAGCTGGATTTTGTAAAGGCTTTTCCCCCAGGATTTCTAGGAAAGCAGTTTTTGGCTGGGTTTGCAGATAATTCACAGTGATTTATGTAGGGTGAAGCAAAAGAAATACTCCTTTCTGGGCCATAATAATCAGTGGAGCTCTGCCGAGGACTGAATTTCCCCCCTTCTCTCTTTTTCTGGCTTATCTCTTGTTAAATATATTACAGCATGCCACTTACCTGGGAGTGCAGTTTGGGGCCCTCTTGGGTGCCTTCTCCCTGCATAGGAATGTAGAAAACTGCTGGGGAGATGTGGATATATCTATATAGCTGTGCATCTCTATCATCTATCTATATATCTGAGAATAAAATACCTCCCAGAGCCACATCCTTGGGAGGCCAGAGCACATTGCAAACATGTTTTGGCTGGATGTGTGCTGATAAGATTTGTCCTCTTCCCCCAAAGTACCAAAGGAAAGGATGAATTGGACATCATGTCCTTTAGTTGGCACAATCACCTTTCAGAATGTTAATTACATTTTCATTGCAGATCTCTTAAAAACTACCATGTGAATTTTTCAGCTTTAATGTGTGTATAGAATTTGTGTGGAGAGCTCTTGTATAACATGGGGCTTTCTTTATTTAGCAGAATAACTTCGTGGAAAATGGGAAATTGAATTGCAATACTTACTTATCTCTGAAGTTGAAAGATGTGGTTTCTAACTAACTCTGTGTTAAATGTGTGCTTTTAGAAGTGCTGTTAAAGTAGGGTTAGTATCGAGCAACTTCCACCAGTCAGCTTAGCAAAAAAAGTTCCTTTTCTTTCCCTTCTCAAAAAAAGACCAGCTTTTCTCAACTGTGTTTATAAATGCTTTTCTAGAAGTTGCACTCTGCTCCATCCTGCTCTGAATGTGAGCTGATGGTTCTCAGAATAGCATTTTAACCACGTGATCCCAGAACCTGGCACTTTCCAGTTCCCCTTTCGAGTGTTTTGCTGTCACTTCCTGTTCCATGGAGCAGTTTGTGACTTTCTGCAGTTAGGAAACAATAAGGCTGTTGGTCATTATTGTGAAAGCTGCTTCAGCATTGAAGCCAGAATAGAATCAGGCTCCTAATCTCGTATCAGCCATAATCATTCTAATTATAGCTGCATCTCTTTGAGGGTTCCAGCAATGAGAGAGGTCAGGCTTCACCCACACTGTGCCTTCCCTCTGACCTGCCTTCCTAGCCGATAAATCTACCAGCCATAACTGCCAGACATCTGCAGCTCTGCTAAAATTGTTGTTTTACAGTTGCCATTGGAAATTGCTGCTGTGAAGATGGCTTCAGAGTGATTTTCAGCCTTTATTTATTTGTAGAGCCTAAGTATTCCAGCCTCTGGATAAGGATTTGGAGCCACAGATAAACATTTGAAGGTCCCTGACTGCAACTTATTCTGTTGTTGCTGCTGTCGAACTTCTTATGAGCCTGTGGACCTCGAAGGCTCTGCAGAGAACAAGTCTGAAACAAGTTGTGGCATTCGCAAGGCCAGTAATAACAGATAGGAGAGGAAGCAGACTTGATATGTGGACTTGCTGAATTTCAGTATAAAACTTTGAAATTACGTAGCAGCTGAGCTGCAGAGCTCTCTCAGATGATGTCAGAGTGCTTGTCTGCAGTGAGGGATTAGAGGGTCAGGATTCTGTGAACTGGACTGCACAGAACTCTTGGCACTGCAGGCTAAGGACGAGGACAAGGCTCTCGGTTCCATCCTCGCTCTGTTTTGTGGTTGCTCTCCCAGCTGACTGCGGTGACTTTGGGGGGTGTTTTGTTACATTTGTCACTTGTGACTGTCAGTTGACTGCAGGAACAAATGAAAGCTGCTACTTTCAGGAACTTCTGAATGATCTCGTTCATTTCGTGGGGGGTTTTGACAAGACATCTTCGTAGTCCTTTGTCTTTGAGAAGATATTCCACCAGGTAGTTCAGTGGGACTTTTATTCAGTTATTAATGTTTGCCAGTTAAATGGCATTTCAGACGTGGCTGTGATGTGATTTTTAGTGCAAATATATACTTTGATAAAGAAGGAGAAAATGGATCCTGTGCACTCTGAAGTCTGTGGTGTGTCTGTCCTTTGAGCACTGCCTTCCTTTTGGTCACTCTGTTCCAAAAAGGACACTGGGGATGGTGAAGGAAGTTTCTGGGAAGGACCACAGATGTGGTCAGTAGTTCCCAGGCGAGGATTCACAAATCAGTCTAAATTCCCTAATTTGGAAAAGGTGGCAAAAAGAAAGATATGACAGTGATTTGTGCAGCAGTGGTGAGGGGAGAGAGGCAGGGATGGAGCAGGGATGGGCTGGAGCTCAGCTGAGTCCTGGAACAGGAAAAGCAGCAAGGCTCGGCCAGGGCAGTTCAGAGCAGGCATTCCCACGGTGCCATTCCCTGTGGAGCTCTGTGCCAGGGGCTCTTCTGGGTTCTGACAGCTCACCCGGGCTCTGAGGCAGCTTACAAAGCTCGTGGAGAGGAGAGCTGCATTGATTAAGCAGAGAGAAGGCAGCCTTGGCTCAGGAAGTTTCTCAGGAGCTAATGCTTGGAAGCTGGGATAATGCTTGACAGAAGCCTCATGCTGTGCTTCCCTGTTCTTACCTGCATCAAAGTTTGCTTTCTTCTCCCAGCTTTCCTGTGTAGAGATGTCAGCAAGGTCATGTGCAAGAGGGAGGATGAGAAGTCATCTTCCTTGCACAAATAAGAGAACTGAGACTTTGTGATGAAGAAATGGAAACTTCATCAAACAGATTGCTAACGCTTGACACAAGTTGGAGCACTGTGTTCCATGTAATTGTTTGCTAATATCCTGCTGCTCATTGGGCTTGGGAAGGAATTCTTAGATTGAAACACTGCTGCAGTTGATGAAAGTTAGGAATTGAGTACCAAGTTGAAGCTGGAGAGGGAGAATTTCTTGGGTTTAGTCTCCAGGGTTGATTTTGACATTCTGACAGATGCACCTGAATGCCTGACAATGCTATGAACAATGCACAGCAATTGATAATTTAATGTTTCCTTTGCTGGGCTTGGCTGAATGGTACAGCTGGGTTTGTGCACCACTGCAAAACCTGAAGCTGTTAATCAGAACTGACAGTGTTAAAAACTCATTTTAAGACACAGCTTACTTTTCATATTGCAAACTAAATACGGATCTTTTGAAGATCTGGCAAATGAGGAGGGGAAATTTGTAGTTTCAAATGAAAAAGAACTGACTCAGCCAGGCTGGTGCATGGCACTGACCTGCTGGTCACTGTTAATGGCCCTTCAGTCACCAGCCACTAATACAGTGTTATGGATTCTTCCACAGACTGCTTGATCTTTTCAGTGTATTTCAAATTTTAATTTGCATAATTTCTCTTACATCACCTCTTATGAGTGATGCTGGGTTCCTGGGACTTAATTACAAAATATGGGTAACTTACAGTAGGCAATAGTAAAGAGGAATGGTGAAAACTGTACAGGGTAGTTCTATAAACCAGGGATGTCATGAATTTCACTGGACAAACACTGAGCTTCAAGCAGAAAAATTACACTATGAACAGCACTGACTTAGAGGGATAAATATTTACTGGGGCCTTGTGATCCTCAGGCAACTCAAATTTAATTAATTTTTTTTAAAGGTCAGAATAGCAAGTCCTCCATTTGTGTTCTGATGAGAGGCATTAAGACTGTGTTAAAATTTAAATTTGTTGTTTAATTATCAAGTATTCATTTGAGGCTTAGGAAATGGAATAGTGTTAACTGTTCTGTAAATGCAGTTAGAAGAAGCAATTGTGGAAATAGGTGAATTTTTAGGTAGCTTAACTTTTTGTTACTAAAAAATAGTTACTTAAACTCCTGTGGACTATGGGATGTAAATCTGAAGGAGCTTTTTGTAGAGAAATGACCCAGTGAGAGATAATAATGGCCTCTCTGGGGAAGCTGTGTCTCTCAGTTGTGTGGCTTTTTTATCCCTGTGCTCAGCTTCCAGAAGGTTACTGACATAATGGTGCAGCTCACTGAGGTGTCATTTCATCAAATACCCTGTGAAACCCAAAACACTTAAATCATTTCACTGTGACTCTAAATGAAACCTGAACTCTTCACTGGATTGAACTTGTTTGAATTCTAATTCAAAGATTCTAATCCTGTTTAGCCTTATTTTCTTCAGAAACTGAAAGGCTTGCTTTTAATCTTTTCCAGGTCAAAGACCGGGGTCCAGAAGCCACAAGAAGATTTTTTAATTGGTTTTATTGGAGCATTAATTTGGGAGCTATCCTCTCTCTGGGAGGAATTGCCTACATCCAGCAGAACGTGAGCTTTGTGATCGGATACAGCATCCCAACAGTTTGCATCGGGATTTCATTCATGGTTTTCTTGTGTGGGCAGAGCTTCTTCATCACCAAACCTCCTGATGGTAGTGCCTTCACAGACATGTTCAAAATCCTCACATATTCCTGTTGTTCCAAGAAGAGCCAGGGGCAGCACTCAGCAAACAGGTTTGTGATGAGTTTTTCTGGGTGGCCTCCATTCCAAGTCAGCCTAAGACTGGAACTCCTGAGTTCAGACTGGCTGGCAGTAACTCCCAGCAGACACTGCAGGAGAAAGGAGCAGGTCTGCTCTGACAACTGGGAAATTGGAATCCTGCAGAAACTTTCTGGGAGTTGAGGGATGGATGGAAGAGAGGCACCCTGAGATCTGTGCAGCCAGATCATGGTGTCAGCTGAGCTCTGTGTCCTGCCAGCTCCCACATGACAGTGTCATGTAACCTGGCTGTGCTGCTCTCAGCATTAGTTCACTTGCTTCTCTGCTAGATATCTGTGTGGATGCCTTCTGGTTTGAAAAGCACTCTCATCTGCATTCAATGCTGTGAGTAGCTTGATGGGGAGCCAGAATTTTTCCACTCTCAAGGGCTGCCCATGGAATACTGGTGGTTGAATCATTGGTAAGAGATGTCAGGTGCTTCCTCTGCAGTGGGGTTTCATGTGTTCAGATTGCCAAGCAGTTTAATAAGAAATATTACAAAATACAGATTACCCTAAGTTCTGCCAGTTATTTTGGGCTGGGGTGTGTGGGGAGGGTGGGAAATAAGGAAATTCCAGAGCAGAAAATTTCCTCTCCTCTTTCCACTTGCTGGGGATTTCTGGCCTAGCTGTGTTGCTGTAACTCACATGAATTCCTTATTTTAGAAATGCATTAACTTTTTATAAGGAAGACAAGATTGCCAGTTCTGTTCAACTAAACATTTCCAATCCTTTTCCAAAGTGAAGGCCAGGGAGTGCTGCACCCACCTCGCAAGCAAAGCCTCTTTGACATGGCCAAGCTGTCTCGGGGGGGCCCCTTCAGAGAAGATAAAGTGGAAGATGTAAAAGCTCTTGTCAAGATTATCCCTGTCTTTCTGGCTTTAATACCTTACTGGACTGTGTATTTTCAAGTGAGTCCTTCCAAATGGTTGTGGTTGTATTTTACATCATTTCCAATGTAACAGTTTTTGGGGTGTTCTCCCATAGATTGGAAACTTACCTTGAAGTTGAGAGATGAAAAACGACTGCTAAGGAATACTCTCAAATAATATTTTGACCTAATAAAAAGAAATTATTAGAATGTATTAGAAAAAGAAGAAAATCATTGGAATTGTAGTTAAGACTCAGTTGTATAAATTCACATATCTTAAATACTGTGCTGTGTTTCACCTTGCAGTTGTTTCACATAGGTTAGGGTAAATAGTCTAGACCTCATTTTAATTTTCAGGTCCTGTTTCATGGAGATGATTCAGGACATCAAATACATTTTGGGCAAAAAAAAACAATGCAGAAATTGTTTTCAAAGACACACAAATGATTCTTTGTGTTTTTAGTTAACATAACTATAAGGTTAAAAAATCTTGTAATGTTCTGACTGTAATTCTTTTCAGTTTGCTGTGTTAGCATATCATCTCTAATATAATCTTTGTTAATTGTTACAAAATTAAAAACATCTTGCTTTCTGCACTCCTTGTCCCAGTAATATCAACTCCTCTTTCCTAATGCTAGATGCAGACAACATATGTACTGCAGAGTCTCCATCTGAAAATTCCTGAGATATCGAACGACACCAACTCCATCCACACGGTGAGCAGAGCACAACAAGGGCCAGGTGCCTTTCTGCAGCTGAAATGCACTTGGGGTCAGAATTGTACAAACATTCCAGGAAGTTCAGGCAGTGCCTGACCTACCTGAATGTGTATAATGATTGGGGATCAGTGCCTCAGCCTTTGGGGATTGAGGAGCACCATGCACATCTTGGATTTTATGTGGTCACTGTGCCAAAAAGAGAGAGCAAGGACAGCAACACCCACGGAGCTCTTTGTTTAAAAAGGCCAATTTTTTATTGTACAGGCAGCCCAGATTTAAAGTGTGTCAGTGCAGCCAGGACAGGACAGGAGCTCATGGGACAATTGGGAAAAAAACCCTAGGTCAGCACCTCAGGATGTGTCCCACGGGAAAGACACCAGGGGTTAATGTTGGTGATGAATTCCACTCTGTTTGTCACCATGTTGTCACCCTGGGAGACTCCTCCCTAACTGAAGCTGCAGTCAGCTTGTCAGCCTGGGAATGGAGCTGAGAGTCAGGAGAAATCCAGGCCTGGAGAGAATTCCCAAGCTGGAATTCCCCTTAATTTAGCTCTCTAAACGTGTGTGTGCACAATTTGATCATCCCAACAAGCAGCTGGAGCTCACAGCAGCCTGCTCTGGGTGTGTTCAGGGAACTCTCACTGCTTTCAGCAGGAGTTTCTTCAGCTTTCAGTGGCCCAAGTCTGACCTCTGAGATGAGCTGATCAATCTCCATGGCCTGGGTTTTCATAGCAGGACAGAAGCATTTCTGCAAGCCCAGGGGGAGTGAATACCCCTCCTTAAGTGATACATTAGCATTTGGAATTGGAGACACATTTGTTACTTTAGACTGCCTAATCAATAATCACTTTACCTCTAGCATATTGAAAGAAGCTCTTCAGTCAATATTTTTCAAGAAAGGCTGGCATCATGTGATTGCAGAAATGGTACAGAGAAGTAAAACCATAGGATTTACAGGAGACACGTGTTACACCACCCTCTGTATTTATTTGACAAGTGTAACTTGATTTTAAATGAATTTTGCATTTGCATTAGTAAATGTGAAATTAGTCAACTATTTCTACTGTTCTGTGGCATATTTCTGATAGTTCTTGGCTATTAAATATTTTTCATGACTGAATTAGGTAAAAAGTTTAATTCTGTCACATGAGAAACTGAGCTTACAGATGTATGAGCATCCAGATTCAATGAAAACCTGAATAGCTGAATATTTTCTTTAGCTTCCAGACACTCTTATTTGACTTTTCACAATGGATGTCAGTGCATTGTTGTTTATTTTGGATCAAAGTGTTCAATGAAACTTTTTAAAAATAATAATAGTAAAAATCAGCTCCTAAGTATGAAATTGCCAACTTCAATCCTCTCCCTTTCCAGTTTCCAGCAGCCTGGCTGACCATGTTTGATGCAGTGCTTATCCTGATCCTAATACCCTTAAAGGACAAAGTGGTGGATCCCATTTTGAAGAGGAATGGCTTGCTGCCCTCCTCACTGAAGAGGATTGCAGTTGGAATGTTCTTTGTGATGTGCTCTGCCTTTGCTGCAGGTAAGAAAACGACCTGGAGATCTCCTGACAAAGTGGATTGTTCAGCTCACTGCAACAGCATTTAAAAAAAAAAACTCTGTGAATATTTAATTCAGCATTATTCAGATCTTTCTTCGTGGGAGAGTGGGAATGTGCCTTCATGGATGCATTTCCATCAATAAAGGGGATTGTATCCAAAAATTTACTTAACTGTTTTGAACACTTGCAATAAAATTGGAGCATTTTTCCTGCCTGAAGTAAACTTTGCATATACCCTTTTAAAATGTTTCTTCATACATTCTGACTGCCAGGTATAATATAAAAAAGCTGAAATTTTACCTAAGAACCTTTCCCCTGATCTGAAATAATAAAGTTATGTTATGGCTGAACAAGAGTTTCCTCCCACTTTGGGTTTTGTCTCCCCTACCTTCCTGTTCCCTAATGTTTGGGAATTAGTGTAGTGTAAAATAGCTCAGCTGGAGCCTGAAAGGGAGAAGATGCCAACTCTGCTGGCCCCATAAATCAGCTGCTTTTGAGGTGATTTCAAGTTGTTAAGCACTGCTGATGTGGAACTGAACATCTCTGAGCAATGCTTCACAGAATCTATAGCCCTCACCAGCATCCCTGGAATGAACATATTGATAAAGCATTATAGCATTAAATAAATGGATTGCAGCACTTGGGATCCCCTATATTTTAGGGATGGTTATTAAGATTTCTTTCAATGAGAGAGGTAATTATTGGGCCAAGGTCACTTTGTGGGCAGGAAAGTTTTTAAAGTCATTTCAAGTTAAAATAGAAGTGTTTCTCCTATTCCATGTTTCTTAGGACACTGCTGCTGCAGAAGAGGATGATGTAAAACATTTAAATGTCAGCTCTTTAAATAGAACCTGTGGGCTCACACTGAAGGGAATTCAAAGCCAGCAATATCTGTCTTTATTCCTAGTGGGAAGAGCACATGGAGCTGGGATAGCTGAGTTGGGGAATGGGCTCACACAGCAGAACTCCTTCAAGTTTCTTTCAAATGCCTTTTTCAATTCACCTACAGATGTAACACTTAATTTTGTTGGTTTGATCCTCCCCAACTGTTGCCCATTAGAAACTGAAAAGGTGAATTCTTTGGGTGATTATTTGCAATCTGTTTGGAAGGTTTAACCTTTTGGAGTAACTTAACATCTGTTCATCACAACAGGAATTGAAGAGCTTCAGTTGAGACACATTTAGGGTTTAGGAAATTTTATTTCTAGCAAAGTGTTGGTTTGTGTGTTTCATTCAATTTTTGTTTTCTTGTTAAGTGATGTTTATAGCTGCTGTATTTTAACATTCTTTAAATACACTACTGCCTCCAGCCACTGCTGCCTTCCAGGGGGACACTGAATGAAACCTTAAACATCTGAAAATGTCAAGAATTTGTAATCATGGCAATATCTTAATGATTTGTTTGTGCCATATTTCCATTTTGACTTGCTTATCTAACAGCCATTAGTTGTGGACACTACTCAGTCTGCCTATTAGATTGGTTAGATTATTTAAAATATTTTATAAACTGTGTTAAAATACAACTGATTAGATTTAATGAACATCTGCTGTGCTTCATGCATCTTATGGTGAATTCTGAGCAGCAATGTTCAAGGTTATTCAACTGGAAAATCCACTTCATTTATAGAGTTCAAACCATTATAGCAAAAAGTTCAGATTACTTTAACTGCAAAGAGTGTAAAATCAAACATGAAACTTGTCTATCAAAGTCTTAAGGGAAGAATCAATAGATTCCAGATTTGAAGATGAATTTATGGCAAAGTTTGGTATATTGTAGTTGTGCTCCTAAGTGGCTCAATGCTTATTTTGTAAGAGTAGAAACAATTAATTGATGTTTTGAGGTGCAACAATTCTGTGTTGAGTGGAAATAAATGAAATTATATCTGAGCTCTTAGATGGCTCTACTGCTTTGTTTACATTTTAATTAAGTTCCACTCTAAAATATTTGGAAGCTATATTAAGATGAAAACATCAAGAAATCCAGTTTTATTTTAATTACAGCAGCTCTTCATAGTTCAGAGGGCACTGAGGTAGCTGAAGAGCTAAAGAAATACACATCAAAACAAGGTCACCTACAAAGAAATGAGGAATATAGAGAAAATGTGATGGCTGGCCTGGCATGAAGCAGTAATAAATTTGAGAACAATCTTTACCTCAAACCCAGATGTTAGTGAGAAATTTGGCACTGTCACTTAGCACAGAGGTCCCCTCAAGGTTTTGTGTCCCAGATTTGGGAAGCCATGGGGAGAACAGGACTCGTGGTGCACATCAGCAATTGTGTTTGTTTAAGTGGAAATTTCTCTTCAGGGTGCTTCCCATGAAATGCTGGCTGTCCATGGCATCCTTTGGGTGGCTGCAGGAAAGGGGAGCTGGGCCTGAGGAAGCAGATGGGCATGGTGTGATATCTGTGAGCAGCACAGCTCAGCCCTGCACGTTGTTTTTTGGTTACTGGGGGGATGTTTTGTATCCCAAGAGGTCACCCTGAGCTGACAGCACTAAATGGGAGGCTGGGAGTGTAACCCAGTGGCTCTGTGAATTGTGATGAATAAATTCACCTCATTTCCAAGGATTAGAGATGAGAGTTCTTTTATAGAGGTCTCTTTTGGGTGAAGCAGGGAGTTTTATTCACTATTAGCTATTCTGTGTACTTTATGTAACTGAGAGTCAATCGTTTAATCTGGGTAACTTCAACAAAACCCTACAGCATTATTTGATATTCACTTTCTACTCTAAACTGTTGTGCTGAGCAAGCTAAAAATGCTTCTATTTTACACTATCATGTCTCTTTTTCATTCCATATGAAGTACTTTCTATGCAATGTATTGCTTGTAAATCAAGCTCTAATGAGCTCTTGGATCTCTTTGGATGAAAAGTGTCATATAAATGTCATAATCATATTCATAGAGGGTTTTCATAGCTCTGCAGGACTGGGGTAGCCATTTCCATAAGCAAAAGGGTTTCTAATTTATGAATACTATGGTGGCAGTTGAAATGGTTCAACAGTGCAAAGTAGTAGTTTGTGAAAATGAGATTGTCTTTAAAAAAAACCCAGCACAGTGTCCACGAGAGCTGTGAGCTGATCCATCCAGAAATGGGCTAAGTGTTTGTATAATTATTGCCACTGAATGAGAATATAATCACTAATTCTATGGCAGAACAACTGTGTGTCTTGAAATAACAACAGCAAAAGTAGTGTGAAATGCTTTATGTCAGGAAAGAAATGCACATTCCTACTGTAGCATTTCTAATTGTAATGGAGGGCTGAATCCTAATTTAATTCTTAATGTGGACAAACAATGTTTGCATCTTAGGTCAATCTTTTTTTCCCTCCCCTTTCACATAGGAATTCTGGAAAGCAACAGACTGAAAATTGTAAAGGTTAAAACAATTAACCAGACAATTGGGAATGTTACATACCATGCTGCAGATCTGCCAATCTGGTGGCAGATTCCTCAATATGTGCTGATTGGATTCAGTGAAATATTTGCAAGTATAGCAGGTAAGAGTCTTTGTGTGCTTAAATCTGCTTTTGTATCTGTCATAAACATTGGAATCTTAGAAAATAAACACTTCTCAAATCATTAGAAGTAAGCTCTGATGTTCCCAAATACATTTTTATATAATATTGCTCCATTTGAGTGGCAAAGCTCACCATTGCCTTGCACATTTGAAGCCTGGCTATGTAAGACTGTGCTTTCAAAACTGAATTTCAAGCAGAGTAACACCTAAAATATTTGTGTGGCATGCAGTTAGTGCTGGATATTTGCAAGCCCTAATGGAAAACAATATACTCTTTCAATATTGTGTTTTAATGCAGTTTTGTGTCCTCTGAATCTTCCTCTGTGTTAGAAATACAATTTGTGCTTTGTGATTTTTTTTTTTTTTTTTTGGTCTTATAAACTGAGCTCACAGTTTAGAAAGTCAATTGGTAAGTGGAAACACCTTTCTCAGGGCAAAGGGAAGAAATAAACCCCATTTAGAAAGCCAGTTTAAATTCATGTTGCTTGAGTTTTTTAATCTATGGAATAAGAAAAGGTTTTGTGCATAATAATAATGAAGTAGCTATTTTTATATCATTTAATCTACTTAATTTCTAGATCAATTTTTCTGTAGCTGTTCCAATACTTCAACCTGACACTAAGCAAACTGAAACACTGCTGAAATTTTGGGTGTCTTGAACAAAAGCAGGAGATGTTAAATTTAAATTCCCTCCCAGTGCCCTGTGTGATGTGTGGACAGCTGGAAGTGAAGGAGGGGGTGAACAGCACTAGGAAATGTGATTTTTCTGCCTGTGCAGGGCTCAGCAGCAGGAGCAGCTCTCTGTGGCCCCTGGGGCTTTCCCAGCTCTCATTTCCTGGGCTGGCACAGCCACAGAAATGTCCCTGGCAGTGTCCCAGCACGGGTGGCACTCGGGGTGTTTGGATGCAGGAGCAAACCCTGCTGGGTGTGCAGGTGCCTGGTCTGGCCCTGCTTCAGTGGAATTGTGCATCCAGAGACTCCAGGTAAAACTCCTCTCATTTGTGCTGGACTGTAGTGACTTAGTGAAGTGCTGAAATTCTGTTTGCAAACACAAAAACTCTGAGGATTCCCCACTCACAGTGGCAATACCCAGAGCTCTCCTCCCTGGATTTCTCGTGGCATCAAATCCACTTTCATTTCCCCTGTGGGAGGTTACTTTCATTCCTGGGCAATCCCAGCTGAAGTGAGATTCTGGGATTCTGAAGCTCTTGCTGGCAGTGGCCCCAGCTGTCTCATGGCCCATTTGTTCCCCTCTCAGTGGAGCAGAGAACTTGTGCTCCATCAGGTTTCTGGTTACTCGTGTTCTGCTGTCATCACACTTGTTAGGAAATAAAATAAAGTGCTTGGGTTGCTTGGCAAGGAGAATAAAAGTGGGGTTTGTTGTTTTTTTTCCCTAACTGTTCATTTGCTGTCCATTTCATTTTGTGTGTGTGGTACCTGTCACAAATGGCAACACACAAAAATCTGAAGATAAAATCTTACCTGATTTAATTACTTATTAAAACTAAGGCTGGTTTTAACATTTTTATCCAAAGAGTAAAATGCATTAATTGTAGTCGGTTTAGTGATTGTGCCACTTCAATCCTACCTCAGATAAACAGATGACTTATCAGAAATACAAGTGTTCATGGAAAATTAAACCAATTTCTTCCCTCTTACACAATCTTGTTTCTCTGTCAGGTACTATTAATAGTTCATAGGTGTTTGCAAGGAAAAAAAAAATAGCTGTGGAAAGGTCTTGAAACATTCTCTGTTTGCTGAACTCCAAGCTGAGAGGAGTTCAGTGCAGTTCTTTGGGAGAAGTCTTTAAAGCTTACACAATTCTTATGTGAACATTCTGCTGTTCTGCACTGCTGGCTCTGAACCAACAGCATTATAACTTCAAAAACTCTTGGTCAGTGTTTGAAAAGGATCTACCAGAAATTCTGTGCAGAGCTTAATTGCTTTGTCTAGTGCACTTTCATTTGATTTTTCTTTTACAAAGGCTCTTTTCTGCCTTCTGACTGTTATCTGAACATGATTCTTAATATTTTTAAGAAGGCCTTTCAAGATTCAGAGTGTACTTTACCAATTCAATATTAAACTTGATAAAGGCATCTACTGTGCTATGAAATTCAGGCTTAAAATAAGCCAAGTGTTAATGGTTACAAAACCACAACGATGTGGAAATGTTTGTTGGGAGCAAAAAGGGACTAAACAGCACAAGAGCTGAAAAACATACCTTTGTTTTTCTGTTTTCTGTAAAACTAAGCATATTCTTATTAAGCCACATTAGTTACACTTGAGGTACCTTTAAAAAGATGACACACATTGCATTAATCTTTTGTATTGTTCTGTCAATCCTGCTAAAGCACCCTTGTTTAACTGGGAATTGTAATCTCACATGACAACGGCAGCAAGGGGCTTTAATTTCAGGAGTGCTTGTTTGCAGGAGCATGAAATCATTATCAATGGCTGCCAGCAGCCAAGGGAGCTCTGGAGGCAGAGAAAAGATTTTACATTCTTTATGCCAGATTAAATCTTAGTGTTGCTGCAAAACTTATTCAAATTTAGAAATGTACCTTATTTTGTTGCAAAAAGTGCAGGGTTACACTCATTTTGGTTTTTTTGTTCTGAGTCTTAAGGTCTTATTCCAGCTGCAGCAATCAGATCCAATGTACCTGTAAAATGAACAAGAAAAAAAACCACTTCAGATCCCTTATCTGTTATACCTGAGCTTAACTTGTGCAAACATTCAGAAGCCTGGTGCCCAAGATGTGACTGAGGCTCAGGAGCCCCATGGCAGCTCTGAAAACTTAAAAAGAAGTCACAAACACACTGTGCTGTGTCCTCAGAATTGTCCACTTATTTCTTCTTCAAGTGGGAATGCACAGATAAATACTCCTTGGAAAATCTGACTTGTGCTATAGCTGGCAGAGCCTAGGAAACAAAGGCACTTTTAATTCTCCAAATAAACAGCATTTTGCCCCCCTGCCCTGCCCGTTTGCAGCTGTGTGTGCCCAATTCTCTGGTTACAGTTTGAATTTAGGGAAGCCCCGCAGCTGAGCTGGGTGAGGATGTTTCAGTTCCCTGCTGGCCTCACACACCAGCTCTCCTCTGGCTCATTCTGCCCATTTTTGCAGAGCTAAAGAGCAGCAGGATGTTGGTTACCAGCATTTTCTCAGGTGGCAGGAGGGTGCTGGTGGATCAGTGAGAACACCCAGCTCTGCTTCTTGCCCAAAACCAAAGTTCCTCCTTCACAGCAGCCAGGCTGGCCTGTCTGGCTTCAAGTGTTAATCCTTTTCTTGAAGAGAAATGCCACTGGATTTCTATTAAACCATGCCTGGGGTAGTCAAATAACAGGGCTGGTGTAAATAAAGCAAGCCTTTATTATGGCAGACATAAGAGTTATGCAATTTCAGGTCTGTAATGCTCTCCTTGCAAAGAAAAATGTTAGATGAGGTAGCATTAATTCTCAGTATGAGCAGACTGTTTGGAAACAAGCATTTCACCTGTCAGAAAAAGCTCTGCAAGGAATGTATTTGATTGTCTCTTGTGAATAATCCCATTTGATTTTTGACAGGAGTATTATTCTAAAAGGGAGAGTTAATCATGGGCATTAATCTTTGCGTGGCAGAGCCTAACCCAAGTGTGTGCTCTTGGTGCACAAATTCAGTAGCACAGATTTGCAGATGGATGGTCACTGCTACGTTTCTCTTGGGTTTACTGGCTGAAATTTCAGTAAAGACAGCTGAAAGGTTCAAGCCCTATATCTACAAATCTTTAAAAGAATTGCTTGCTAGCAAGCGATGAACTCAGAGACTTCTAGAGCAAAAGTAAATGAAATTAAAATAATTCCTGCCTTTCCAGTTCCAGTTAATTTCTCTGTCTGCACGTTCAGAGATACAGACACTGAGGCTGTAAGAAATAAATGTTCATGGCCAGTGCCAAGAGGGAGTTTTTCCTTTGTTTTCCTGAGTTTTCCTGCAGGTACTGCCCAACAGCCAGGGAAGCAAGGGAGATGGGAAATGTGGGATTGCCAGGTTTGAGTTAGTTTAATACATTTCTTTGAGGATGATTTTAGACAGAAAAATGAATATGTTGGTTCAGAAGATTTCTTGATTTTACACATGGAATGGAAGTAAGATCAAAGTCTGGGTCTCAAACGTTGTCCATTTAATGGCTTGGTACATTGATGACCTTGAAGAGGATCCATAAATCAATTTAAAGGACCTGGGAACTGCTAGGGATTCACTACACACCTGTAACTTCCAGAACAATCTGCTCTCACCTCTTACATATTCCAATAGCATTTTTTCATCTTTTAATACAGGTCTAGAATTTGCATATTCAGCTGCTCCCAAATCTATGCAGAGTGCCATTATGGGGCTGTTCTTCTTCTTTTCGGGGATTGGGTCCTTTGTTGGCTCTGGATTGTTGGCACTGGTGTCTGTTAAAGAAATTGGCTGGATGAGCAATCACACAGATTTTGGTAAGTGTAATTTTCACTGTCTTCATGGTCTGGAAAGTAGAAGTTTCAGTTAAGCATCAAGGACGTGGCACAGTTATTATTTTCAAAATCTCAATTTGTCTACTGCTCTGTTAAAGTTTCATTTTGCATCTTAACTACAAAATAATGTGAGTTTGCAAAATAATTCACTGCCCTCATTAAAGCACAAGAAACCTCTGTAGAGCCTCAGTTACTTACTCAGCTGTTATTGCATTTCATCACTAGAAATTACAAATATTTTCATTTCAGTAAAAAATATTTAAATTACGTGCAGCAGAGGGATATATTTGGTAGAAAGTACTGAAATTGCTTTCTGTGGTTATGGGAAGTCAAATGTACCCATCTCTGTCCAAGTGATTATTCAGCTTCCTCATTTCGAGTGACTTCATTAAAATTAGCATGAGTTAATTCTGCATTTCCATCTGCTACCTATTTATACTCCTAAAGTTCAACAAATCACCTGCTTTGAGTTGCCAGTGGAGATTAAAAATAATTATTGGCACCAGTAGGTGGCATCTTGGGAATTTCAGAAAATCCTCCTCTCCTCAGTGGGCTAATTAGTTCAACCAGGAGGAGTGGGAACAATTCTTAAAATGTCTGCTAGACCTGCAGTGTGTACAGGGCTTAAAAGTGCAGCCTAAACTTTTACATTTGGTCTGAGAGAATTTGCCATTTCAGCTACCAAAAAGCAGAGGTGTCTGATCCCTGCATATGCCACAGGTTATCTGTGGCTTTAAGTTGTTCTTTAAAAGCTGCAGAAGATAACAAACAGCCTGAACCTTATGGAAGTGTCCATTCCCCAAATGAATATTTCATCCTGTTGAGACTTCTTTTCCCCAGTCAATTCCCAAATTAAAATTTTCTACAACTCCATGCAGAGGGAATTCAGCTGATCAGGGCTCAATAGGGGATAAGAATTTCACACAAATAATCAGGGTGTTTTTCCAGCTGATGAGAAGACACTGCCAGATCTTCTCTCTGTAAAATATTTGGGCTGTGCTGAGTCTGCCCAGACGTGGCCAGCACTGGAAGGAGCCACTGGCCAAACCTATATTTCCACAGCAGCCCCTTTATAACTTTATTATAAACTCAAGTTTCATTGCTGTAGCATCATTGAAAGTTTCCAGATTCACATCTGAACTTCACCTGGGTTTTCCAGGGTAGGAGTTGCAATGAGGAGTCAATCAATGAATGATTTGGGGCTTTTCCATGAGATGCTGTAAAATGACTGTAAGCCTGTGCCCTAAATTTCTGCTCTTTCTGCCAACTCCTGACATCACTGGGGGTGACTGACTGCCTCCAAAATCTCCTGAGGAACTTCCCTCCCTGCCAGCACTTCAGGGCTGGTTGCTGCCAATGAATTGACTTGTTTCTCCCACCAAAACTAAGATTTCATGGGTTTAATATCCCATCTCATAAAGGATAATTACTACTCTTCAAACACATCTGCTCTTGAAACAGAGATTCACATGTATATTGTATTTTAAATGTCAAGGAAAGGCTCAGTTTAATTTTACTGCTTTTTATTATAAGTTCATTTAATTGAATCTTAAGTTTCAGTAATTAAAGTAATTGAATGTGAACGTTTATAGGCTTGCTGCAGGAACAGCTGGTTCGGGTCCATGTACACGTCACTGTTTGAGTCTCTGCAACCCATCTGATAATTGTAATGGGCCAGTTGGCTGTGCTGGGTTGGAAATGAGCCACACTACATTGTTCTTGAAAGTACAGCAAGATGGTTCCTAACAGAGGAAGGATGTTCTAGCCATGAGCTTTCTTCATTTTACATCGTTTAATGCCCACAGCACTCATTTGTGACAGCTCTGGGGGAGCATCAAAGGTGAACTGAAGCACCAAGAAGTCACCTATGTTTTCATGAACTCTAAACATCTGAGAAACAATTGCAGTAATGGCTTTTTTTATATCTGTGGAGTTGCCAACTTCTCCCTTTACAGCATTCATTTTTTGTTGTTTTTTTTTTTTCATTTTCTTTTGACTTGGTCTAAGGCATTGGTGAACAAAAGAAAACGTTCCTTATCCTGTGCACATCTTCCTCAGCAGTGCCAGCCTTTGCTCTGGAGAATTAAAAATGAACTGTGCTGTGGGATGGAAATGGGATTTGGGTTGGTTCTGCAGGAAAGTCTTCCCCATTTAAACGTGACAAGATTAACATTTTTATTTGTATCATCTATATTAATGTGTTGTTTTTGTTTTTTTCCCCCCCTCCTCAATTCCTTCTAGGTAATATTAATGGCTGCCAATTAAACTATTACTTCTTCCTGCTGGCTGCCATCCAAGGAGCCACCCTGCTGCTGTTCCTGATCGTTTCTGTGAAATACGAGCACCACAAGTGCAAGGTGGGCGAGGTGGCTGCCAACGGCAGGCTCTGAGCCCTGGCACGGGCCAGCTGTGAGCCCTGGCACGGGCCAGCTGTGCCAGCAGCAGCCAGGGAAGGGGCAGGGCCCCGGCAGGAGCCCAGGGCACCCTGCAGCCCTGCCAGGGAGGAGCCCCTGCCCCCTGGCAGTGGGGAAGTGCCTTATGGCAGGGGCTGGTTCTTGCACTACGTCCTGGCACAGGACAGCAACCCTTGGGAGTGAAGTCACTGCAGGCTTTGGAGCTGCCCTTGGCTCACGGGGAGGCGTTGACCGAGCTCCTGCTGGGACACCTGGAGCAGCCTGAGGAGTCACAGGGGCTGCTGTGACCCAAACTGAACACTGCACCCACGGGAACCAGCTGACAGGAGCCTCGAGCACTGCAGGGATTTTCAGTGCTGGGAGTCATTGTGGAGGGAGGAACAGGGACAAATTAAATTACAAATTAGCCAAATTAGCAAGGAATATAATTTTATAATTGACCTGTTGCTGACAAGATATAAAGGATTTAAGTCCAGACTTGCACAGTCAGGAGGATCCAAGACTCTGAGTCCCAGTAGCTTGTCAGACAGCTGCTGCAGATCTTGGTGCACAATTAACACTTGTTGGGATTAAAATTGTTTAACTGCAGCAATGTTTTTATTTTGGAGCCATTGGATGTATTAGGACAACACCCACCTTTGGACAGCCCCTGTTCAGTCTAACACTTTTACTCCCCTAAGGACTATTCCAAACATTTGCAAGAAGAATTCTGAGCAGATCAATGCACAGTGACCGTTTAGCAGCCTTTAGCCAGGTCCTTCAGTCTTGTCTTACTTGTAGTTAACGTGCTCCAGGGTTTGGATCTTTCAGCAACACATTCCTCCAGCAGAGCAAATGGCTTTCTGTTCAGCCTCTTGAATTTTAATGATTCTAACAGCTGTACTTCAGAGTGTGTGCAGACTGGTATGGAAGGTGCAAGGAGTTATGCAGAAAGAAAATAAAACCTTTTTATTAACGTGTTGAATTTTTATAGTTTCCTTTGTCTGCAGTTCTGTTGTTTAAAATGTCCTTATTTTGTACATGGACATCTTTTTAATGAGTTTACAAAATAAAATGAACCTCCATGCTGTGACTTTTGACCCTTTGTTTTTAGGTGAATAAAATTATACAACTATTTTGTTCTTTAGCCTTTATTTCCTGAAGACTCAGTGGAATGGTGTTGGATTTCTGAATGTCCACAGGTACCCCATTAATTGTGTCAGGCACTACAGCAGTGTCCTATCCTTGCCCAGATAAATCAGTGAAAATGCTTCAGCTCTTGCATTCCTTAGTATGATTTAAAACTGGAATGACTCAAGAATAATGTCTCTATGAGGAAAAACGAAATTTCCTTTTCTAATTCTGTTTTAGAAGCTCCATATGCTGCGTTTCTGGAATATCCCGGCTAAAAAAAAACGTAATATTAGGAGAGTGGAAGCTGCGTGAGGAACAGATGAGGAACAGATAATTTTTCCCTGTGGTGTTTCACTGATTCCCAAAGCCCCCAGAGGCCAGGAGAGAGCTGGGCTGTGCTGGGATGGAGGTTTGGCTCTCAGAAATGTTCCTGCTCTCCAGGACTGGCACTAAGGGCAGACCCTCCCCTAGGAACACTGATCCTGCCCCTTTCTGATCTGATGAATTTCTGATGAATTTCATTAAATTCACTGTTTGCCCCGAGTTCTTAAATTTTATCAACAGCATTGCTAAATTTCCCATCTGATAGGGGATAATTGAAGCTGAGTTTAAGGACAGGAGAATAATCTGCAGCTTACCAGGGAAATCAGGTGTCTGACAGTGTGAGAGGCTGTACAGGTGAAATTCTTATTTAGGGGAAAGCAGAGTCAGTGCCTGCTGGCTCAGCCCCCTCTGTACTGAGGCAGAAATCTCACCTGGTACAAGCACAAAGTGTCACACCCTGCTGTGCCACCACTCTGCACACGAGGCTGAGCATGCAATCCCTTGTGTAATTTAATTTTTCTTTGGCACGGCTTGGCTCAGCTCCAGGCACAAGCAATTATGACCGTTTGTGAATGTTAATCTGACATTTCTCATCAAGGGGATGAGGCCTGGTAGTGACCCAAAGGCTCAGCTGATTCTTCCTCCCCATCTCATCTTTCCGTGGTTCCACCCCAATCACAGAAATAAGACCAATTAACTTTATGACTGAGCACTGCACCTCATTAATGAAATACCTTGAAGAGTCAGAGTTTGAATTTTACACTTAGGTTGTTCCAGTGCCATGGAAAGATCTGACAGGACTTACCCTAATGGATGCTTTTAAGGTGCCTTAAATTCAAAGCACAACATAGAAAAGCACTTATTCAACATGAGGGGAGGTCTCTGAGTAAAGTTTGGTGCTTTGACTTGTAAAGAACTGTAGGAAGAATTAGAATTAACCTTACAGTGCTAGAGGCAGGGGTGGAGGGGTGCCTGTGTTTTATTTGAGATTAGAAGGTGAGTGCATTGCTCATATAATGGATATTTCCAGAGTACAGCAAAAACCTGGTTTTCCCTGCCTTTGTACCCACAGTGAATATCCCTCCTCAGAAAAGGGGAGCTTTTTTCATTGATTCTGCTTATGTAAACCTCCAGCAAGGAGTTCAATTAGAGCAGTTTAGACATCCATCACCATTTCCCTCAAAAGTCTGGAGTCACCTCTGAGCTGGTTTTATTTGTGTCTTTTTGGTGTTAACAGAAGTTGCTCAGGGCTGACAGGAGACAAGGTTGCTCAGCTTAACAATAAACTGGTGTTAGAAGCTGCAGAGAGTTCTTAATTGTCAAAAAGCAATTTCAAACACCAAATCTTATGGCAGTGATTTTGTTTCTATGCAGAGCAGTTATGGCACTGCAGCAGAGCCCTCAGGGGAAGCAGATTAGAACAATTTCCATTGGAACACTCCGAGGTTTTGAGACAGACTCGTTTCTGAGCAAGCAGAGAATTTGTAAAGCAGCACTGCTGGTGGAACAGTGCACACACCTGAGTGTGGAACCTGCTGGCCCTGCTGCAAGCAAAGGGAAAGAGATGAGAACCAAGAGCAGAAAATTAAACAGAAAAATACCATTCTTGGGTTATTTTCCTACTTCCCTATACATATTTTTCATTCAAGGTGCTTCCTTTATCAGGACATTCCCCTCCAGTGCTGTGCTCCAAGTGCCAGCACGCTCAGGGATGTCCCTGAGTGGAGCATTTTGTCGTGGCTGGGATCTCAGCACAGCCAAAGCCCAGCTTGTTCTGTGCTGTAGCCATGGGAACTGGTTAATGCTGCGTGGGCACATTTAAGTCCTAATAACTCATAACTCCATCCTAATGACAAATGGCTCCTCTGCCAGGCAGGATGCTCTGAAGAGCAGCTCTGCAAGCTGAGCATGTGTGAGGAGCAGCTCTGGGAGCCAGGAGGGGGCTCCAGGGGTGGGGGGTGATCAGGGCTGCTGGCTCACTCCTCATACTTCACTTCCAACTTTCTCTGTTCTGCTTGGGTGGTGAAGACAAACCAGTCCTGTTCCAGTAAAGGACTCAAGGACAATTTCTTCAAACCTCAGGCCCTAAGCATAAACAATGGAAAAAGAGGAGGGTGGGCAAGCAAGCAAGCAAGGAGGGTGAAACTTCCTAATTTGTGACTGTTAATTGGACAATTCTGCATGCAAACTAAAACCTATAAAAGTGTGAGATCTCATGACCAAGCTCTCCTTTGCCTCCATCCTGGAGCCATCCAGGCAGGGACCACGACTGTGGCACTGCCAGGGTGTGGCCTCTGAAAACCCCTCAATAAATATCCAATCAATAAATATCCATTTTATCCCTCTTAACTCTGTGTAGCCTCTGTTCCAGCTCCTCTAGGCATCACCCCCAGTTCCAGGCAAATAATTCAAGTGTGGGAGAGGGTTCCCATTAATTGATTGCACATTTTAGAACTTTGTCAGACGTACTGAAAGTCTAGAGATGCCCTAATTGCTGTTTCAGCAGTGCTGAATCTCTCTAATTTAACTTTTACCCCTTTTTCCTTTGCTGTCCCACAGTGCCCCCTCAGCTGTGCAGTGACTGACCCAGCAAAGCCTGGCAGTGATGCTACTGCAGGCTGGCAGAAGTTTAATAATTCCCAAAAAAATTAGATTTCACATGTGCACGATCCTCATCGTTTCTAAATTCCAGCTCATCAAACTGATGAGCTTTAACGTGGTGAAATTGCTCTGTGTGATACAAAACTGCCCAAATTCAAGTCCTTATAAAAGCACGAAGCACTACAATAATTTAAAGTGGCCTTTTCAAAGCACTCTCACGGTGCTGCAGCACTTCAAATATTTTTACAAGGATGTCAAAGCAGAACATGGTCAAATAGGCTTTTGAAGTAAAAGCAGCAGACATCAAAACATACTCCCCAGACTGAGAAAAACACTTGGAGTGTCTCAAAAAGTAATAATATCACCCAGCTCATCTGCAGCCTGCAGCTCCTGAAGCAGGGGCGTGTTTGTGGATGGAGTTAAAAGCACGAGCTTTGTCCCCTGGGGATGCAGGAGCAGGGCTCAGGTCCTGTCAGTGTCCCCAGGGGTACCTGCTCTGCCACCCCCAAAATCTGCACTCATGGGGTGCCCCGGGCAGCAGTCCTGACATCCCTCACAGGATTTCTCAGCAGTGAATAAATGCTGGATCCAGCAGCCTGATCCTCCTGTTTTTTGGTTTTTTTTTTGGAGAAGATGGCTAATTTGGGGTGCAAATTCCTTTTGTTTGGTTTTGCAGATACGAGTAAGACTTGAGCTACTTCCAATGAAATTCGTGCTACAGAACTACAGAATGTAGTAGGAAAAATATGCCATGATAACATCCCCCTTCAATTTCCTCTTTAATTTTTGGTACAATAGCTGGATTTTCTGCTGCTTTCTGGAGAAGAGACTAATGCATCCCTGAAGTTAATAAAATGATATGGGGTCATTTTTATTGAAAGAAAGTTAAACATCTGCTGTGTCTATTGCAGTATATTAAACAATATTTTATTATTCTCTCTTCCCTGACGTGAT